TGTTTGTAAAAGGAGAGAATCTGAATTATATCTTTTTAAGGTTCTCTGTCTTTATGTTTTTAAAGATTTATTTTATTTTTATTGGAAAGTCAGATTTACATAGAAAAAAGAAGAGACAGATCTTTCATCTGCTGGTTCATTCCCCAAGTAGCTGCAATAGCCAGAGCTGAGCTGATCCAAAGCCAGGAGCCAGGAGCTTCTTCTGGGTCTCCTACATGCAGGGTTCCAAGGCTTTGAGCCATCCTCTATTGCCTTCCCAGACTACAAGCGGGGAGCTGGACAGAAAGTGGAGCAGCCAGGATGTGAACCAGCGCCCATATGGAATCCTGGGCATGCAAGGTGAGGACTTCAGTCACTTGGCTACCGCGCCAGGTCCAAGGCCCTCTGTCTTTAACATCCTGTATTGTGCTGGGTAATCTTACCTTTACAGAACAGAGACCAAGTTTATAAGTAGTTGGCTTAAAGCAGGCATGTGATGTAGCACTTAAGAACCACTTGGAATGCCTGTACCCATAGCAGAGTCCCTGGCTTGGGTTCCAGTTCCCCTGCTTCCAGCAGTTTCTTGCTGATACCCATCCTTGGGTGCAATAGATGAAGATTCGAATATTTGGGTCCCTGACTCCGACACAGCAGCCTCAGATGGAACTCTGGGTTCCTGACTTCAACCTGGCCCAACCCTGGCTGTAGTGGGCATTTGGAGAGAGAACAAGTAGATAAATGGTCTCTTTTTATCTCTCTACCTTTCAAATAAAATGAAAATTAATACTTCTTTATAAATTGACCCAGGAACTTCTCCACAGATACCATGGCAAATTATGACAATCATTTAAGAAGCTGTATAAATTGAAAATTAGGTAAATTCCAGGTGGTTTAGATGAACTGATAAATGACCTGAACAATGAAAGAGTTGTTATAGAATGCTTGTGTTACATGGCTAAGAATAATAGTAAGTATTTTTATGAGGCAGAGATTATCATTTCCATTTTACAGGAGTGGAGTGATCCCTATAGAACAAAGAGATGAAGTATCTTTCTAAGACACACAGTTAGCAAGTGATGGAGCCAGGATTCAGACTATGCTAACCAGAATCCTCTCACTTAATATACTGTCACACCATGTGCTGTAGCACCATCTGTATATACATAGAGGGCTTTAATGGAATTTTAGTCCAAGTTCCTAGAATATGTGTGAGCTGCTTCTGTTAGCTGTTTGACTAAGACCATGTGCTGGATTATTCAGATCTTTGGCTTGACCAGTGAGGAAGTACTGAAGTTTATAAGTCATCTGTCCAAGCTCAGACTCTTTAGGAACACAATTCTAACTTTAAAAGGTCAGGGATGTTTACATAATCTTATGCTTTTTACAATACAGATTAAAAGCTATTTGCCATTTTTTTTTCTTCTTCTGTGTATTTCCTTTCTTTCTAAGAGTGTGGTACAGCAACACCTACAAGGACAGACTCACCCATCTCATTCCTCCATTGCAAGCATCTCCTTCAGACCAGAAAGGGACACTGTTATTCTCTGCTGACACTCTTGCCAGCTGCCCCTAGAGAAGGGAATGCGTGTCTCAAAAAGCTGAAGCAGAATGGAATATATCAGAACCCCATTCCATTGCTGAAGAGGACATTAGTTAGTTGTTTTTTGCACTAAAAACCTCTGCTCCCTTTCCTCTGGAATAAATGGGTCCAGTTTCCACAAGGTTGATAGCTGTGTGAGAACACTTAGGTCGGATCTGGCTTGGAGGTGAGGACAAGCATATACAAATGAGGACAGCCCTCAACTATGCCTGGCCTTCACACTGCCCATCAAAGCTCCTCCATGGCTAGTAAATCAGGACACAGGAGCCCTAGGGCGGCTGAGCACACTGCTGGTTCTGGTGCAGATGCACTCAGAAGATCTCTCCAGATGGACATAAACAGGCAACAGAAGGCAACCCAGGTGGAGAGTCTGTGGCCTGGGAGCAGTGTTTCCCAAACATTTTTATGACCTATTTCTTCTTTCATTTAGGCATCTGCCTGAGGTCACATATCTCCTTCAAAACCACTCCCATGTTTGCCAAGCTCCTTGTCTTTTGCCAAGGAGAAGCAGGTCCAGCAGACTGTGGGGAAGGTTGGACTGCTGAAAAGATGATGTTGGCCAGGCAGAACCATGTTGGTCGCTACTACCGGGCAAGTGGTACATGACCCTCACTCATCCAGCCTCTTAAGAAGAACCAGGCTTGTCCCTTTTTTCGGGAAGGTGCTAGTAGAAGTGATGGATCTTCTGGGATCTGGCCCACTCAGTATGCACTCTAAGGAAGTTCTTACTTTGTTTTCCATTTACCAAGGAGCACTTTTTTTTTCCTGAGTTTCTATTTTCATATAGTACTGTTAGCTTGAAATAGAGACCAAAGAAAAAGGCCATCAAGACATATACAGGTTAGGCAATGGACTGAATGTGTGTGCCCCAAAACTTGTATGTAGAAGCTCTAATCCTCAACATGACATTAGGAGGTGAGGTCATTGGGAGATGACTCAGGTTAGGTGAGTGAGATGGAAAGGAACAGGCCCAGTCTCAGTAGAGACGATTTCTGTTTCGTCCCAAACAACTTCAAAATCCCTGGCACTGGGGATAGCCCTAGGGTATAGTAGGTTAAACCTCCACCTGCAGTACCAGCATCCCATATGGGCACCGGTTCATGTCCCAGCTGCTCCACTTCCAATCCAGCTTCTTGCTAATGTGCTTGGGAAAGCAGCAGAGAGTGGCCCAAATACTTGGGCCCCTACACCCACAGTGGGAGTCCCAGACGAAATTCTTGGTTTTTGACTTTGGCCTGGCCCTACTCCAGCCATTTAGGCCATTTGGGGAGTGAACCAATGAATGGAAAGTCTCACTCTCTGCCTCTCCTTTTCTCTCTGTAACTGCCTTTCAAATAAAAATAAATAACCTTTCTAAAAGAAGAAAAATAAAACCGCTGTTGTTACAGGTATTCCTCAGAGCCTCTGAGGGAGGCTAATAAACTCTGTTTCAAGAACAAGAATCTTGGGACAGGTGAAGTTGCCACAAGCCCTGTACCCCTCAAAGCATGGGTATAGTGGTCTCTGCTATTTCCTGGGCACATATGGTCACTGAAATTTAAATTAAGTGTTGGTCACTATCCAGTACTCAGAAGCTGTCGTAATGAACAGAGCAGACATAGAACTCAGCTGGCTGGCTATTTGGGCTTCAAGTAGCATTGGATGTCTTACTGCCTGGAACTGGTGGTAGTTGGAGTGAGAATACCACGGTGAGTTATGTAGGGAGGAAGCAGCTTCGACAAGCCGAGGCAGGGCTGGGGATGGCAAAGCCCAGGGTTAGGTTTAGGGTTAGGAAGGAAAGCCTCAGGGTGGGGTTCCCAGTTCTCTCTGAATAGGACGGAGACCAAACCTTGACCTCACCTTGCTTGTTAGTGCTTCTTAGCCCTGAGATCTCTTCCTTCTCTTTCCATGTATCTCCCTGTGGCATCTCACCTACCCCACAGCTTTATTCACCTCACTTCCAGAGATTGTTCAGCGGAGGGTCCACTGGTATAGTCTAGTAGCTTTCACACTGCATCAGAACCCCAGCAGGGCTTTGTTAAAACACAGATTCCTGGGCTTCATCATGGCTTCTGTCAACAGATGTGAGGTGGAGCCAGAGACCAAGCATTTTTACCAAGATCCTAGGGACTGCTGCTACTGCTGATCTTGGGACTACATTTGGAGAATCATTGGTGTGGTTTTTAGATTTACACTCAGAGGCAGGAGTTCTAGCATAGTGGGTTACGCTGCTGCTTGAGAAATCCCATATCTTAGGTCACAGCCAATTCACGTGCAGTATGGGGAAGGGCAGAAGCTGACTTTTCTGGTACTGCTTTGTTCCACCCTCAGCTTTTTTATTTGAAAAATGAGAGTCACGGCCACACATTTTATCTAGTGGTTAAGAGACTTGCTTTGATTTGATACTCCACTCTGGGTCCGGATTCCACCTTCTTGCTGATACAGACCCTTTGAAGCAGCAGTGATGCCTTCAATAATTGGGTTCCTATCACTCATGTGGGAGACCTGGATTGAGTTCTCAATACCCAACTTAGTCCTCACTTCAGTCTCAGTTGTGTCCATTTGAAGAGTGAGTCAGAAGACAGGAATTCTCTCTCTCTCCATCCTTCCCTTTCCCTTTTTCTCCCCCCCCACCCCCACGTCTCCCCTCTGCCTCCTAAATAGAAACACAGACACACACACCCCACACTGGAAGTCATGCTAAAAGTCAAAGTTATCAAAGCCAGAAAGTTAGCTAGGACCTAAAGGCAAATTTGACAACGTGAATATGATTAGAAGCATGATGCTGAGGGTCAGAGGTTGAAGCTCAGCTTGCAATACCACACTTGTCCCCAGCAATTGACCCTCATGCTTTATCATTTCCCTACTTGGGCTTCAAGAGGGATCCCAAGAGCTAATAGGACTGACACTAGGAACTTGCATTCTCCTTCTATAGGCTGCCTTAATCTATAGGCTTCTTCCTGTCCATGCTGACTCCAGACCAAAGGCAACGATATGAGTGTGGAATAGAAAGTGCTTGGCCTGGAGTCTGGGATGTTTATAGGCACTGACTGACGAGAGATAATGCTACTGTAGTAACTGATGAGGTAAGGGTGGGGGTGGACAGGGAGGGCCATAGGCTCTCTTTGCCTTCGTCTTGGTTCTGTAGACATCAGAGGCAGACCTCTTGGCTTCAACCAATCAGTTAGTGCTCCTTATCTCTAACCAGTTTCAGAGTCCACACAGAAGAGTGTATGCTGATCAATATTTACCTGCAACTGTTGGAAACTTCAGTATATGCTGGAGAGACCCTTGGTTAGTAGCAATCTCTTCACCGAAGGAAGACCATTTGTGTGTGGGATCATTTCTGTCCCCTGCTATAAACACAAGTCATTCTGATGAAGTGCAAATTGTGTGCCTTTAACATCTAATGCCTGTTTTCAATGTGTGACACCTCTTTTAGGCACAACTATCTCAGGCCTTAAATGGAGTTTCAGATAAGGCAAAAGAAGCAAAGGAGTTTCTCGTTCAGCTGAAGAACATCCTGCAGCAGATCCAGGTGAGCACAGCTCTGACATGGGGAGGTGCAACCAGTTCAGTTAGCTTGCAGAATGTTTCAGGTAGCCAAAAAGAAAGGAAATGCCTATAGCAAGCATTTTACAGTGATGTCCATTAGAAAGCTACTGTGTCCCACTGTACCACCTTGGACAATGAAGGTGTCATATACTTAATCTATTTACCCATCTGTGACACCTGGTATGGAAAAGGAGTTTTATATGAAGATAGAGAGAAATATATAATCTGGCAGTGGAAAGATGGTATCCAGCACTATACATGGCTCTGTAGTCATAGGGTCCCATGCAATGTCTGTGTATGGTGCCTCTGTAAACAATGTAAACCATGTAAACAATGCACCAAAACATAAATGTGTCATTTACTAAGTAATGGATGGACTAATAATCTGTGTAATGTCAGGTACTCAACCCAACACATGATCAGTGAGGCACAGCTTCTTACATTAGGGAGCTCTGTCCCTAGGGGCCAGAGAGCATACATTTGTGGTACTATGTGATTGTGCACATCAAGAGGAACTATTCATATAGATAAGGAACCCATCCATAAGGCACTGCAATATCTGTATTGAGAATAGGGGCTAAGAACCCTTGACAATTTTTAAAAATTTATTTGTATTTATTTAACAGCCAGATTTACAGAGAAAGAGAATTTTCCATTCATCAGTTTTCTCCCCAAATAGCTGCAGTAACCATCTGGGTCTTGGGCTGTTTTCCATTGTTTTTGCATGTGCATTGCAAGGAGATGAATAGAAAGTGGAACAGCTGGGAATTGGTTTGGCCACCATACAGGATGCTGGCATCACAGGCAGCAGCTTAACCCATTACACCACAATGCCAGCTCCAACACATGGAATTATTAATCAGTCCACAATAACTATTCTTAGTAACTTAAAAGTGCAGAGTTAGCCATGGGACACTTAAGAATTATTTTTATCTCATCTGGAAGTCACAGAGAGAGAGAGACAGAGACATTCAATGATTCACTCCGCAAAAGCCCTCAACAGCCACATTGGGCCAGGCCAAAATCAAGAGCTTGGGACTCAGTCTAGGTCTCTCATGCTGTTGGCAAGGACTTAAGTACTTGCGTTACCACCTGCTGCCTCTCAAGGTGCACATAGCAGGAAGTTGGAATCAGGATTTGGATCCAGGCACTCCACTATGGCATGTAGGCATCCCAAATGGTGGTGTAAGTGCTACATCAAACACCCATTCATAGGGCATTTGAAGCCCTGCTACTCTCAATGTTTCAGGTATTGTTCTGTGAGGGGTATGGTAGAAACTGGTGATCCGAGCAACAGAAAGTTATTGACTCCTAGTTCTGGAGACCATTTATATGACTTATACAGAATGGGCAGAAGATTCATAATAGCTCATGACTGTACGTGGATGAATAACTGCTAATAGGCATGAAGATTTCTTCCATGGTAGTGAAAATATTCTCATTAGATTATGGTGTTTTTTGCAAAACTCCATGAATACATAATCAAATCTGTTGAACTATACATTTAAATGTATGAGGTATGAATTATAACTCAGCAAAGCTATTTTTTAAGTGGTGTTAGAGGTAAAACTGGAGGAAGTCTGATCTCAGGGGATACTTTGGAACTTTCTTGAAAAAACCTTCTGCAGGGCCCGGCGCGGTGGCGCAAGCGGTTAAGGTCCTCGCCTTGCACGCCCGGGATCCCATATGGGCGCCGGTTCTAATCCCGGCAGCCCCGCTTCCCTTCCAGCTCCCTGCCTGTGGCCCGGGAAAGCAGTCGAGGACGGCCCGGGGCTTTGGGAACCTGCACCCACGTGGGAGACCCGGAAGAGGCTCCTGGCTTCTGATCGGCATAGTATCGGCCCGTTGCGCTCACTTGGGGAGTGAATCATCGGACGGAAGATCTTCCTCTCTGTCTCTCCTCTCTGTATATCTGCCTTTCCAATGAAAAAATAATAAAAATAAATCTTAAAAAAAAAAAAAAAACCTTCTGCATTACTCTTGGGGCGGTGAGGGTATATCATTCAGATGTATCATGACTTGACTTGCAAAAAGATAACCACTTGGAATCTAGATTTTTGTTAGAGAAGAGAAGGAGAAAACAAACAAAAAAAAAAACAAAAAAAGAGAATGAGAGAGAAGAGCAACTTAATGAACAGACTAAGTACTTACAAACAGAAAAGGAAAATCTTTATGCAACTTCTGGATACAACTCTACAACTCTCATGATTACTCTGACATCTACATGGAAAGAAGTAAAAAAAAAAAAAATTAAGGAAGGTTTCATACATTGGATTCTCTTCCAGTGATGGGGGGAAAAGAGTGATTTTGAAGACTATAGCAAAGACAAATACGTCACAACCAAGCTGACTTCTGAACATGTTTATAAAACAAAAACTTCTAATGTACAATTAACTTGATGAGAGTGAAAACTGAAGAAACATGCTGGAATTGACAGTCCCACAAATGGAAATCTTCTGTTCATCAACAGAACAGAGCTAAGCCCACCCTTGAAAGATGACAATTTTTCAGAATAAAAATACTAATAGTCCCAGACCATGTACTAAAGAAGTATATCAGTTAATGCCTCAGATTGGTTCCCGTGGCCTCAGAGCCCACAAGACAAAATAATTTTGAATGCTATTCCATTGGTGTAAACCAAGCCATGTATGCCTCTGACATGTAGTGCCTGCATGAACCCATTTTCTGTTTTATATATATCCACCTTAGTCAACCTATTGCAACAATGATCTAACAAACAGGAAAGGTATTTGTGAGCAATCCCTGAACAAAGACCACTTTGGAAATATTTATTTTCTCTGTGTAGCACAAGCCACACAAATACTCAAATACAGGCTGCTTAGCAAATCCCAAATCCAAAGAATAAAAACATGATCTTTTTATGAGGTATAAAAATTAGTGGTTTCATGTTCTTAGAGTCATGTACATGGATGTCTTAAGGATTATTTGTGGTTCAAATGTGCAAGATGCCAATATTAGTCTCCAAGGAAACCTAAGATGGAATTTATATTTTGGATTTTAAAATAGATAAAATATTGAAAATTGAATTATTCACCAGAGGCTGAGATTAATGCAATATGCAGGCTTTTACCTTTATCTTCACTTACATGCTTTGATTACTGCCTCTGAACCACAGGCCGTATTTTGCTCTTTAAGAGATTTATTTAGAAATGTCTTCTCAGGAATGCAACCACAGTCATTAAGAACAGAACAGCAGGGGCAAGCTGGTACAGCACAGAAGCTGATACTTGGATTGCCTACATCCCATATTGGAGCCCCTGGGTTCAATTCCTGGCTCTGCTTCCAATTCAGCATTCCTGCAGTACATACCCTGGGAGGCAGTAGATAATACAGCTCAAGTGTTTGAGCTCCTGCCAGCTAACATAGGAGATCCAGATAAAGTTCTGGGCTCCTGGCTGTAGCATGGCCTAGCTGTGACTGATTCTCTCGCTCTCTCCCTGCTGTCTTTCAAATAAGAAAAAAAAAAACTAAAAAGGAGAAGAGAATTGTTTATGAAACACATTTTATTCATCATGAATGGGTCTTTATCAGTGTTCTACATTACACAATAAATCACCTTTATGGGTGTTCCCTGAAAGCTGTACGAATGTTGAATTTTTGCTCTGTATTTAAGATATTCAAATGTTTAGATATTTGAAAAAAATAAATCCTTTAAAATTATAAAATTTTTAAGTGCAAAAACTTAGTAGCATAAGTGACTATGGATATTTATTATATAACAACTTAATTCTCCTATATCATTCTCCCCTTTTTAAAATGTGCCATGTTAGGGCCCGGCACGATAGTGTAGTGATTAAAGTCCTCGCATTGCACGCATCAGGATCCCATATAGGGGCCAGTTCTAATCCTGGCAGCCCTGTTTCCCACCGAGCTCCCTGCTTGTGGCCTGGGAAGGCAGTTGAGGATGGCTCAAAGCTTTGGGACCCTGCACCCGCGTGGGAGACCCGGAAGAAGCTCCTGGTTACTGGCTCCGGATCGTCATAGCACCAGCCATTGTGGTCACTTGGGGAGTGAGTCATCGAATGGAAGACCTTTCTGTCTCTCCTCCTCTCTGTATATCTGCCTTTCCAATAAAAATAAACAAATCTTTAAAAAAATAAAGTAAAATCATTAAAAAAAATGTGCCATGTTAAAAGCTTTAGATTCATCCTATAACCACTGCTGTGGCTGACAGGTGACTTTCTAACAACTGAGTAAAGCAGAATAGTCAGAATAGCAGAATAGTTCCTACTATTTGCATTATTTTAGTCATTGCAGCAAGACACCATTATGAGAGGCAGAGAGCCAGGCTTACCTAAGCTATCTTGCATTTATGGAATAAGCAGGGAAGATAATTGGTAAAAAACAAAGGGAATCAGGGGCTTGTATTGCGGTGCTGTGAGTGAAGGCGCTGCTTGCAATGCTGGCATTCCAGATGAGTCTCAGCCACCCTTTCTAATCCACTTCCCTACTGATGTGCCTGGGAAAGCAGTGGAGGATGGCCCAAGTTCTTGGGACCCTACCATCTATATGAAACACGTGGATCCCAGGCTCTGGCTTCAGCCTGGCCCAGTTCAGCTGTTGCAACCATTTGGAGAATGAACCAGCACATGGAAGATCTCCCTTTCTCTCCTTGACTCTAACTCTGCCTTCCAAATAAATATATCTTTTTAAAAGTAAACAAAGGGGATAATTCTAAATATATATTTGAGAACAGCTGTATTATGTAAAATAAAATCCAAAGAGGATCAAAAGCATATTTTTCTTTTTTTTTAAGATTTATTTTATTACAAAGTCAGATATACAGAGAGAAGGAGAGACAGAGAGAAAGATCTTCCATCCGATGACTCATTCCCCAAGTGAACGCAACGGCCGGTGCTGTGCCAATCCGGAGCCAGGAACCAGGAACCTCTTCCGGGTCTCCCATGCGGGTACAGCGTCCCAAAGCCTTGGGCCATCCTCAACTGCTTTCCCAGGCCACAAGCAGGGAGCTGGATGGGAAGTGGAGCTGCCAGGATTAGAACCGGCGCCCATATGGGATCCCAGGGCGTTCAAGACGAGGACTTTAGCCGCTAGGTCATGCAGCCGGGCGCCAAAAGCATATTTTTCACTGTGCCAAACTACAAACTCCCACAGATCATTTCCTTGCTTGAGTCACATATCTGAGAAATTATATCAGGATTATATTCAATTTATTGTTTTTGTTTACTGAAAGCAATAAATCACTTTAACCACTCTTAATTGTATTTTTTAAAGTGCTCTGCTATGTCTTTTCTGTTTCACGGCTTAAAGGTAATATATTTACATTAATTAATTGTACTGCTTAAGTATAATTACAAACCAGAGATTGGGGAGGGCTGGCATTTGGCACTGCAGGTGGCTTGCGGCTCAGGATGCCTAGTTCCTGTATCAGAGTGCCTAGTCAGAGTGCTGGTTCCTCTGCTTCTGAACCAGCTTCTTGCTAATGTGCCCCCTGGGAAAAGCAGGTGTTGGCTCAAGGACCTTGGTTCCTGCCACCCAAGTAGAATCTCTACATTTAGTCCCAGTCTCCTCACTTCTGCTTATCTCAGCTCTGGTTACCAGGCAGGAAGCCAGAGGTTGGAAGATTTCTGTTTCCTCCCACCTCTCTTTTTCTCTCTTTCTCTCTCTCTCTCTTCTTCCCTCTCTCTTTCACTGACTTTGAAAAATATGAAAATAAGTAAATTACAAAAAATGTCTTAGGTCCCTGTCTCCAAGTACAGTCACATTCTGAGGAACTGGAGGTTAAGATATCAACATAACAATTTCAGGAGACATAATTTTCAGCCCATAATGTGAGATCTGAATGCATAGTGGTCTTAGAGACTCAGACAATTCTTTATTAAAACTCAGCAATACAGATCTTACAGCAGAACACTTTTCATTTAGTTTATTTCTTTCTCGTTATAAAAACAAACATAAGGGTTCTAGACGTTTTTGTAACTAGGAAGAAAAAGCTCACCAATAGCTCACTATGTGAGGTGACACTCTCCCAACATTTAACGTGTGTTCTGTTAGACACACACACACACACACGTCTAAGACTGCACTGCGTACAGCTTGCTATCTGCCTTTTTTCCTTCCTCAAGATCTTTCATGAGCATTTCCCATGGCATGAAGAGCTTTTTAAACAAGGTTTGAATGACTACAGATTTCTTCACCATACAGACATGCTGAAAGTCACAGGATATTCTCCTAGTCCACATTTACTTTTTTCCAACTTAAGACCCTTATAGGCAATGCTGGGATGAGATTCTCCATTCTCTGATGATATAGTTTTTTTGTCAGCAACACTTGCCAGATTCCATCACCTCTCTAAAGCTCTCTGCTTCTCCCTGCAGGAAAATGGCCTGGACTACGAAGCCTGCCTGGTGGCTCAGTGTGATGCCCTGGTTGATGCTTTGACCCGACAGAAAGCCAAGCTGCTCACCAAGGTGACTAAAGAAAGGGAGCACAAGATGAAGGTAGGCACCTGTTTAGGGGACTGGCACACCTAACGCCTGGGACATCCTCCACACCCAATGTGGAGTCCAACGTACAGTAGGTGCTAGATAAATCTTAGTTGAGTGAATCATTGAATGAGGCAAGAAAGGCTAGACTAGTTTGTTTAGTAACACTCATGTGATTGGAAAGGATCCAGCCAACAACTTTGCCGTTTGCAAGTCAGAAGCCCACCTCTCCCGCCTTCTCTAAGCTCTTCCATCTTTCTAAGAGACTCCTCAAGGTCTCATTGTGCAGAAGTGAACAAAGACAATGAGGAGGCCTAGCTGTGCTCAGGTCTGAAACACGTGAGGTTCCCTCTGATGTCACATACATATAATCAAATGTGCATGCACACACACACACACACATGTGCCACAAAAGGAAGGTGAAGTTCACCCTCTAACACTGAGAATCTGGTACGGGCAGGCACCCATAAACACTACCAAAGGAGAAAGAATTATCATTATATGAAAAGCTCCATCTATGCTAGAGACATTCCCAAACTGCATCTGAAAACATCACTTTCAAAGAAAGAAGTAATGAGAGCCTGGCACTATAGTTTAGTGGCTAAAATTCTTGCCTTGTAAGCACCAGGATTCCATATGGGCACTGGTTTTAATCCCAGCTGACCCACTTCCCATTCAGCTCCCTGCTGGTGGCCTGGGAGAGCAGTCAAGAACGGCCAAAAGCCTTGGGACCCTGTACCCACATGGGAGACCTGAAAGAGGCTCTTGGCTCCTGGCTTCAGATTGGCTCAGCTCTGGCCATTGCAGCCACATGGAGAGTGAATCAACAGATGGAAGATCTTCCTGTCTTTCCTCTTCTCTGTATATCTGGCTTCCAATGAAAATAAAATAAGGCTTTCAAAAAAAGAAGCAATGAGAATTGGACAGGATCCATGATTTCCAAAGGAAGTGGTTAAGGCTACTGAGGTTGTCTTCACTTATTTCCCAGTGACAAGGACACTTGGAGCTGAGGAGCAGAGCAGGAGTGGGTGCAGGTTACTCCAGGGAGCACCTCCTCAGGGCTATCTGTACACTGAGTCTCACTGCAGCCTGGCTGTTCTTCCTCTGATGGGATGGTTGCTTAGAGGAACTGTTTTATTGCAGATGGTTTGGGACCAGATCAATCACTGCACACTGAAGCTGCGCCAGTCCACAGGGTTGATGGAGTACTGTCTGGAGGTGATCAAGGAGAATGACCCCTCTGGATTCCTACAGGTGAGCCAGCCCCACCAAGACTGGTGCTGTTCCCCCAACTCTAACTCCATGCCCTAAACCAGCTCAAGTTTTAGGAAAGAGTCCTCCTTGCCTTGGAGTTGAGCAGATTCCCCTCTGCTCAGTGTTTAAAGGAGTCCTAGCCTCTGACCTTGGCTGATTCTTACTAGCTGTTACCCTAATCTTACATCAGTCCATTCAACAAGGAGGTGCAATGAGAAATCTTGGGGGCTCCAAAGGCTGTGCTTCAACATCTCCCCCACAAACAGCAAAGGACCATTCTTGCCAAACAAACTGGACAGAAGTGAACAGCAGACTCTACCTGGCCCCTTAACTCACTGTGCAGAGCTCTGCAGAGTTGGTCAATGACTGGCTATCCGTGCAGACAGTGTGGCCTTCTGAGTCATCTCACAAGCTTTCAGATGAAGTTAGAGTCATCTGTAGCTCTCAGATCATAGCAGTGATTCAGCCATGTTTATGGGGGAAATGATGAAACCTCTTGCTTATTCCCCAAGAGGGGAACATGGGATCAAGGCTCTGCAGGGTACAGTCAGCTTGGAGCAGAAGCTATAGAATCCAATGGAAAATGAACTCCTTTCTTCAGACCCTGAGACAAACTCCTAACATGTTTCACTCTGCAAAATACTAGATCTATTAGAACGGATATAATGAAGGATGTTTATGTGTACTTTAGAAAAGCATCATTTATGTCACAAAATGTTTTAGTGCATGTCTTTAAATAGCAAGTGATTCTTTATATCTAACCTGATTGGACATGTCAAATGTGCCTGAAAACACTGAAATTCATTTCTGTCCCATTGGTGTTGCAAAGACAGGGGCCGTGCACTCTCTGCCATGACTCTGAGAGCTCACAGTGAGTGCAGCCCCCCCAGGCCCTGAGCCTTGGAGAAGAGGCTCCGATCCACCCCTACGACCAACACAGTGCTGCACAAAATTCCCTTTGCAGATTGCAACTCTAAACTCTGTGGTTCCCTTTAAGATCTCGGATGCTCTGATCAAGCGTGTGCAGGTGTCTCAGGAGCAGTGGGTCAAAGGAGCCCTGGAGCCCAAAGTGTCTGCGGAGTTCGACCTGACCTTGGACAGCGAGCCACTGCTGCAGGCCATTCACCAGCTGGACTTCATTCAGATGAAATGTAGGGATGAGCCGTGGTCGGCCCCAATGTAGTCAGTGCTTCTTTCCAAAGAGGCACCCAGTCTGAAGGTGGCAGGCTTGGGCCACAGAAGGTCTGTGGCACCCAGAGTACAACACAGTGGGACACTAGGGACACTGGATGGTTCAAGACCCAGCTCAGCCATCATGGACTGTGCAAGTTGGAACAGAAACAGTCCACCTGAGCCTGAGCTTTCCCATTTGCAAAGCCAGGGATGTGTGCTTGTTTAGAGACACTTAAGGAGTATCTGCCATGTGCCTGGTACCCTGGGGGGCAACAGAGGACAAGTCTGTGAACTCCTATCTGAGAGTAAGCTTCTATTCCACAGAAAGGAGGTAGAATGCAAAGAAACCTATGATATTAATGTCTGAGAGGGGCAGATGTTAAGAAAAAAAAAGGGGGGGGGATATAGCAGATATTGAGGGTATATTAAAATGCAGAGAGGAAAAGGAGAAAAGTAGGAGGGGAAAGGGAAAGAAAGGAGCTGTAACCTGGGAAAGAACATTCCAAGTAGTAGAGAGTTGACAAGTGCAAAGGCTCTGAGGCAGGGATGTTTTCACTCAGAGAGCTAAGGAGGACACCCAGCAAAGGCTTAATTCAAGTTTGTACAACTTGTTGTGGTTACAACACCAGCAAGTGGTGGCCAGAGCCAGAGTCCTGGTCTAGGTATTATCTCTTAAGGTATGCCCAGGAAACTCTCAGGAGGAGGAAAAAATCTGCTTGTCTTTTTGTGGGCTAAGGACAACCCCTGCAGCATTCCGTGAGCTTGGGAAGTCCTTGTCTGCTGAATACATGGCCATTTAAAGGGAAAACAGGCATATTGCACATCTTCCTGCTCACTCCCACACAGTCTGCAGCTTGAGTGAGGCTTGGAAGCACCACTTGTTCCAGGTGTGAATGAAACATGGTGACCAGGGAAGAAAGGTCCTGGATGTGTTCAGGGAGCTGCAATGGAGGGGTTGGCCTGGAGAGTGGAGCTGTGGTGGGAGGAGGCTTGGGACTGCTGCACACACTCCTGACAGATGGGGATTTCAGGGAAGAAAAGGGGAGCGGTGAGAGGAGCAGCAGAGCGCAAGAGACAGAAAATACTCCCATAGTTTGTCAGCTGACATTCAGTCAGCCCTGGGACCAAGTCAATGATGAAGTCAGGGGCTTCACCCTGCCAGTTAAGCCTGAAAGCTGACATCTTAATTCTCAGAGCCACATTGAAATGTATAGCTTTTACAAAAACCAATGTTGCCATCTTTACTCAAAGATTAAGAAAGAGAGTATGTGGACTTAACTGTTTCTAAAAATCTCCTGAGCCTGGAAACACATTTTTCCTACAGCTGGAAACACATTTTTCCTACTTTCATTCTAGTAAAAATTGTCATGTACCTGATTCCTGTCCCTGTGTACTTAGGCTAGCTGTCCCATACACTGCAGATGCTTTCCTGGCCCAAATCTAGTTTTTTGACTTTCAAATGCTTCTGGCCATAGGCCCACACTCCAAGGTCAGAGTAAAGCTGTCTCGCTTGGTTTGGTGGCCCTGCAAAGAGGGAGCACACAGGCTGGCCAACACGTGGACTTGAACCCTGTTGGAACTCTTGTGCTTCTCACAAATCAGGGTTTCTCGGTGGGTGGGTTGGAAAAAGGGTGTCTTTCCCTAGGGGTACAGGTTCCAAGGGATAGGCCCTGGGATTTCAGGACACTCCAGACTTGGAAAGCACACAGCACAGGAGTGACCAATTAGGGTCACGAGGGGGAGAAACAAGCCTTGTTATTCTTTGGTGGCCAGGTGCTCCTGCAATGGGGGGTGATGGGAGAGATTGGGCAGGAACCTTGGCGGGGGCACTGTCACTAACCCCTGGCAAGCTCTTGTCACCGCAGTGCCACCCGTCCCCCTGCTGCAGCTTGAGAAGTGCTGCACCCGCAACAACAGTGTCACCCTGGCCTGGAGGATGCCTCCCTTCACCCACAGCCCCGTGGACGGCTACATCCTGGAGCTAGATGATGGTGACGGGGGCCAGTTCCGGGTGAGGACTGCTGCTTGTCTGCAGTGGGGGTAGGGGGAACGTTGAAAGGGAGGAGTCCTTAGTCTTGGTTCCATTTCAAGAGATACCTCAGAGACAAAGATGGCTAGCTGCCCTGGGGTGGTGGGATGTGCGGCTTCCCTACTGAGGGCTGGGTCTAGCTGGGGCTGACAGGTAGAAGGGTCCATTGTACAGAATATTCTGGATCACTTTCCCATGGGCCTAAGGAAGAGCTCATAGAATGTGTCCTCTACATGCACGTCCTTCCCCAATGCCTCCCAACCCCAGGGATCACAAACACTCTTGCATTTCTTCTCTAAGGAGTTGTACCCATTACCAAATCTTGCTAAAGGTTAACATTCTTTTAATTTCTATCAAAGGGATATATGTACATGGTGTTTCCTTTTTTTTTGTTTGAAAAATCCAAGAACATAAAAGTTTGGGAAATAACTAGTTAGTACTCCCTGACCTTATGTGCCTGTGTGTTGTGTGTATTCATATGAAGCCTGACACACAGCTACTATTGATAACTTCCAGTAAGTGAGACACATGCCCTTGGAGAAGCAGCTCGGGTCCAAGGCAGAAATACCTACCTGGGCAGTGGCCTGAGCAGGGGTAGGACATTCCTGAGTAGTGTCCCAGTTGACTGCTAAGGTGTAGTCCTTGCTTCCCTAGGGTCCACCCCAAACCGCCCTGTACCTCTAATGGTAAAGGAACAGGGAAGCTGCTAGACAGGGCTTTGTGCCATTTTGAACAGTCTGTGACCTAGACACAGCTAATTAGAATTTCCCTTATTTAACAATTTTATTGGGATAATAATATTTTTTAAAGATTTTTTTAATTGTAAAGTCAGATATACAGAGAGGAGGATAGATAGAGACAAATATCTTCCATCTGTCGACTTACTCCCCAACTGGCCGCAACAGCTGGAGCTGAGCTGACCTGAAGCCAGGAGCCAGGAGCCAGGAGCCAGATCTCCCAAGTGGGTGCAGAGTTCCAAGGCTTTGGGCCATCTTCAACTGCCTTTGTAGGCTACAAGCAGGGAGCTGGATGGGAAGTGGGGCCGCCAGGATTAGAATTGGTGCCCATATGCAATCCTGTCATGTACAAAGTGATGACCTTAGCCACTAGGCTACTGTGCCAGGCCCAATCACAGTTTTAATATCAATGTGACTTCAGCAACCATGTGCTAAGAGGAATTTTCCAAATGGTATAGCCTAATTAGTAGGCTTGACTGTCTTTCAGGAAGTGTATGTTGGCAAGGAGACCCTGTGCACCATTGATGGTCTTCACTTCAACAGTACCTACAATGCCAGGGTCAAGGCTTACAACTGCTCTGGTGTTGGGCCTTACAGCAAAACTGTTGTCCTGCAAACGTCTGACGGTGAGCATCAGAATCTATTAGTGGTCCAGATGGGCACCTACAGTAGTCATGATGAATAGGTGATGTTGGGCATGGCAATATTCTCCAGGCTATGGACTACTGGGGCCATGGGTAGACCTACAAAACAGGAAAGTGAGTGCCCAGGCCCAACCTACATATTATCCTTTAGACCAGGGAAAAGCTAACAGCTGCTTAAGATGGAGAGGAACTGGAGGAAAAGGGGCCAGATAAGGCACATCCACCTGCTGCCAGTCCTGTCCCTGCTTCTTGCCTGCATCCTCCTCCCTGCCAGCTACCATCCATGCACCCCATTTTGCCGGACCTGGGAAAGGAGACTCATTGTGGAGTAGCTCAGAGACAGACAGACTTCTACTTCTGAAGGGCTAAGCAATGAGCCACATGTCTGTCAGGGTGGAGACCCATGGGCCCCTCAATTGGAGCCTTTCTTGCAGCAGGAAACATCCCTCACACTGCTAGCACAGCAGCTCAGACCTGATGGTTTGCACACTCAATTGCATGCCTGCTTTAGGAATTTTAGGCAATGAAAGCCCATAACAATGCAGAGGATGCCTCACTGTTTGCGTCCTTTGCAGGCAGCAATGACAAAAATACAATATAAATTACAAAGACAGTTTTATACTGGGCATGGCCTAGTGAGGCTACAGAGACAAAACTCCTACCCTGCTACTGCTGCTTCCAAGGGCAGTGCTAAGCCTACATTTCTTGTCATCCTTTGCTTGAGTTTGTCATCTGATCACCATGAGAAAAACACAACACACCTCTGTGGCCATCCAGAGGCAGGAAGGAGAATGAGCCAGAGTAGACACCAATGCCAGCTAGGGATGCTTTATTTAAAATGGTGTGGTCTGCAGACATTTTATACACTATGTTCACTAGCTTTCTGTCCCTGGGGCTCTCCAGCCTAGAGAAGTCCCATCCTTTGCCATGCATGTTATGGTCACAATTTTAGAGTAGAATCCTCACTTCTCCACAGCCTGGGAAATTTGATGAGTAGAAGGGGGTGCCACATGATGAGTAGCAAAATGGAGAATTTTGCTTTATGAGCTTGACCATATCACTTTACCGTTTTGTGCCAATCTCCCACCTGTGAGGTGCGTCACTGATTTCTACTGTCTCCTTAACTCATAACAGTGTCTGAGCATTTGCAAGGAAAAGTATTAGGAATCAAGACTCAAGGAAATGCATCTAGAGCTGAGGCTTTGATGACTGAATATCTGTGATCTTCAGGCTAGTTTGGCTTCAAGATATTGGAAAAATGGATGAACTCTGAGCAGCAGGGAGTGCGCATGTACATATTAGTGCATGCATGCTTGCATACCTGTAGTAGCCATATAGGGAAGACCATTCAATGCTGCTGCCTTCATTCTGAATCTACCAGTCTGCCTCTGAGCACCTTAGAGACTACCAGTGGATTCTATCACCTGATCCTGCATCTCTCCCTTCCCTCTTTCCCAGTGGCCTGGTTCACATTCGACCCCAACTCTGGGCATCGGGACATCATTTTATCCAATGACAACCTGACAGCCACCTGCAGCAGCTATGATGACAGAGTGGTACTGGGTACAGCTGCATTCTCCAAGGGTGTGCACTACTGGGAGCTGCACGTGGACCGGTATGACAACCACCCCGATCCTGCCTTTGGAGTGGCCAGGGCCAGTGTGGTCAAGGACATGATGCTGGGCAAAGATGACAAAGCCTGGGCCATGTACGTGGACAACAACCGCAGCTGGTTCATGCACTGCAACTCTCACACTAACAGGTGCGCACAGCCCTGCCCTCTGTGGACATGCGGTATTTAAAAATGAGGATCCTGTGGGACAGTGTCCCTTGTGCTTTTTCCAAGCCTAGGCATCAGAAACTGTGGTCTCCAGTTTCCAGGTGGTTTTGCCTGTGATCACGTAGAAGTGGTCATTTACCTGAAGCCCAAATGAGAGTATATAATGAAGATAAAAATAGCACCAGCCCAACTAGTTCCCCACACTACCCAGGAATTCTACTGGATACTTCACTAGCAATTTTCTTCCTGCTTCCTCTTAACTTCCCTTTACAGCCATCGACCCAAACTTGAGTCACTTAATGGGCATTCCTGGAAGGAATAGATGTGTTGGAATTGCAGGTCATTGGCCCAAATTGCTCCCTGCCCCTGCTGTGGTCTCACATGGGCTTTGAGCCTTGGCAGAGTCCTCAACAGGGTGAGCCTGGGATGGAAAGGTGTTATCGGTGTTCCCTGTGAACGAATCTGCCAAGGGTGCCCTCAGCTGCTGCTTTACTCTGAAGGGAGGCTGACCCCAGGAGTAGTGGTACCAGGGTGGACACAGGTGACTAAAATGTCATAATTGTGCCAATTTGAGTCAGCTGCTCCACTTCCCATCTCACTCCCTGCTAATATGCTTGGGGCAGCAGCGAAGGATAATGCAACTGCTTGGGTCCCCGTACCCCATGTGGGATACCCAGAAGCAGCTGCTGGTTCCAGCTGTTGCAGCCATTTGGGAAATGAGTCAGCATCTCTCTCTCTTTCCAAACAAATAATTTGTTTAAATCTGTCTTCACCTAGTGAACAGGGATGCAGTATTCACATTCTCAAGGTGACATGAGCTGGTGACTCAAGAGACTCACAATTCAGCCATGAACTACCTTCCAGGGGTTCCTAAGAAGCTTCTGCTAAAGCAGGGTGGGGGGCTTTACATCTCCTGAAGGCCTGGAGTTCTGCATCACCCTCAAGCAAAGCATCCTCACTAGGCTAAAATAAAAAAGGGCACCAAGTGAGTCCTTGTCCTGGGCAGATCAAGGTGACTTCCTTCCCCATGCTCCACAGCTTCAAATGAAACCTACTCATGTAAGCCCAAGTCCCTTGGTGTGTAGTCTGAAAGAAGGAGTTGGTCAGCCTGGTTCCTCTAGGGTGAAATTTCATTAGTGGCCGGCTTAGAGGGTATGCACTGTAAATGAAGGGCAAACCCTCAGAAAATCAGCACCCTGCCACCTACCACCTCCCGGGTTCTGTTTTTGGGTAAGGGTGTTTCCTCTGCATCTTGGACTCCATATGGTAATGTGTTTTCCTTGGACTTCTCTTCCTAGAACGGAAGGTGGTGTATGCAAGGGAGCCACCGTTGGCGTGCTGCTGGACTTGAACAAGCACACTCTGACCTTCTTCATCAATGGGCAGCAGCAGGGCCCCACAGCCTTCAACCACGTGGATGGTGTCTTTATGCCAGCCCTCAGTCTCAACCGTAATGTGCAGGTACCACATGCCCCTCCAGGCCAGAGCTGGTTGCTCTTGCTGCTTGCTCTGGGTCCTGGCAGCCAGACCACCTATTAGCTGTCTTGGGCATTCTCTGGAGATGGATGCTCCCTGCTGTTGACTTGTTCATCTGGATCAAGCAGGGACTCTAATATGGCAGCTAGTGGAGAAACAGAACTCAGGACTGCATCCAATGCTAGAGTTCTGATGGCACAGAAGCCTACAGAGAGACAGACCTGAGGGCGCAAGGGGATAGAAATGTGGAGATGCCATCCTTTGTCATGAGCAGATTCCCCCCTCTGCCAACTGCTTAGGGTGGGAGTGGGGTGAGGCAGGGTCCTGTTTTGTGCCCATTACATGCCCATTACATCACTCACTCACTTCTGGATTCTACTGGCCTTCAACCCATTTGCAAACTGGATTTGAGGCAACCTGAAATATGTGCTGTGAATACAACGGCACTAGATGAAGGAGGACCATGGGAAGGAAGTAGACATAAATCTGCAACCATGAAAACAGCACCTGTTATAGCAGGTGTAGTAACTTTACCTGGGCTCCTGCAGCTTCATATAACTCCAGTTAGCTGTGTGATTCTTATTTCTGCTAGTGACAGTGGCCTGATGACAGCACAGTGACAAAATGTCAACAGCTCTCAAGCAAGCAGTGGACACTATGATTGGGGTGCTGTAGACACTCAGGTCTTGGTGATGGTTTTCCCACCTTTGATTATCCTAACCTCTTTTACAGGTCACCTTGCACACAGGATTGGAAGTACCAACCAACCTGGGACGGCCAAAGCTATCAGGCAACTAGTTTCCCAGCTCCAGCCAGGCTCATGAGCCCTGCCATTCTCACTAAGCTAACAATACCCACGAGGGCAGGGCAAGTGAGTCAGGGGTGCAACCCAGTAGCCACTGAATGTTGTAGAAATACATTTGCTTTAGGGCAATGTGTTAACAGGCTATGCCCATAGCTGCCACTATCAGTCATAAACACGGGTGTGTGTGTCACTTTCACTTCACCTAGATGTTGCAATACTCACAAAGAAGCATCTTTCTCAAAAAAACGAGAAATCAGTTGGGCTTGAGGTTTATGTTTCCTACTGTAAGTTTCCAACACTTCTCTTTATTTGTAGGGAGAGAGGAAGGTAAACTTGGAGAATGGCACCTTGTGAACAGATTTGGGGAGCTGTAAGCAACCCCATCCCTGAGTGCTAAACCTTTGCAGGAATGCCCTATTCCTTCAGAGTCCCACAGCTGCAGGTTCTCCTCTTTGCTAAGAAATAGAAGCCTTTAATTTTTCATTCCTGCTTTGGGATTGCTAAAATGGAACATTAATCATTCATGTTTGATTGTTGGTTCCCTCATCGAGCTTTTGAGGACTTAAAATGGCTTTCTTAGGGGCCTTTAACAGTCAACCTACTATGTTGCTCACTCTCCTGTTTCCTTCCTTCCTCTCTCTTTTACACACCCACCCACCCACCCACACAGAGGTACACATGCACATAAATGAATGTGTGACAGTCTACTGGAATTCATGCATTCAGTTCTTAGTTCCTACATATAAATGCAAACACTGGGCTTTTAAAGTCTGTCCAATGAATCTTCACTTGGTGGTGGTACTTCTCTGGAGTAGATGCCCCAAGAAGTGAACTGAAAACCTGAGTTGCCATTCTGAGCTGCGCTATTCCAAGACGCATAAGAATGGAAGATGCGAGGCATAGGAAAACCTTTTACAGCATGTCTACCTTTTTCTCTGAGATCACCTTACTGCCATCACAAATGCACCACAAATGCAAGAGCTGGCCCAGATGGCAGGCACTCATGGTAGAGTGGGTGTGACCTCTGAAATGGGCAGGAAATAAATGGGTACATCCCTTGCCTCCCAACTTCCCACAAGCCCAGTTCTGCTGGGTCCCGTGTGTACCAGGGCAGGGCTCTGGGGTCAAGTCCTCCCCTCCTTCCTAGGAACACCATCCTCCTCCCTTGAGTCATCCCCACTTCTTGGAGAGACCTTGTTCCAGAGGTCTGTGTGATCTGTTCCCTCTTCTCTTCCTGTCATTTTTAGTTCCATCTGGTAGCAACCTCTCTCCTTTTGAGATTATATTTTATCAAGTCTTTTACTTTTGAGGTTGAGGAGTAACTTCTAAGTTGCTGGGTTGGATTTTTTATAAAACTGGCCCTTGCACTAGCATCAACTGTGCTTCCGTGTTCTGCCTCACACCTGCTTTCTGGGGAACCATTGCCAGGACTGAAAACCCTCCTCCTTGGTCAGTGGGTCCAACAATCCTACCTCAAAGCTCAGATCACAACCCACCAGGCTGCCTGGGCCATTGTCTGCAGATGGGACCTGCAAGGGCAGCTACCTGGAGTTGCCAGGAGCTGCCCGGTGCTGAGTCTCAGTCTCCACTGCAGGGCCCTGGAGCTACCTGCTCCTTGGCTCCCCTCTTCATCCTTATCCCATGAATGGTTCTTGGCTTTCCTCCTGCTATCTTAGAACCCTGGCCAGAACTCTTGGGGTAACACATAGGACCTGGGCGACCACATCCTTGCCTACACAACAAACTCCCTGCTCTTGGCAGCTTCCTTCTAATCCATAGCTCCCTGGGGGCCCCTTGGGTCAGAGCCTGAGGACCATCTCTAAAGAATGAAAAGCACAGAGTTTTCCAATTTCCTGAGGCCAGGGAAGCTGTGGAGGCAGGGCCAGCAGGTCTGGCTGCCATCGGTTCTGGGAAATTTCTCGCCAAAACAAGAACAGTGTAGAGAAGGCAGGCTGGACAGGGCCATCTGCAAGGAGCATCTTCTAACAGAAGAACCCTAAGGGAGAGGCTGTACAGCCTGCAGAATCATCACGGCCAGGTCACCAGAGGCCTCAGCTCTTCAGGGGGAATTACCTATGGACTCTACACCCACAGGAGAGCCAGCACCCGGGATGGAGAGACATGGAAAAACACAGATACAAAACTCACAATTCCAGGTGGCTTCCTTAAGAAGGAAAGTCCCTGCAGTTCAGAGTAGCCAGGCCCCGCACCCCGCAGCACTGAGTGTGGGGGACTGGGGTTACTCTCCCTTTTTTGATTCATCCAGGAACCCAGAAGCAATAGGCTGATACCAGAGGCAGTGCCAGGCTGTCCTTCATAACCACCTGTCTACAGCACATAGATCCCCTTCAGGGCCAAGGAAGAACTGAAGACAAAGGACAGGTCTGTACCACATACTTGTGTTTTTGAGAGGTTGGAAGAGTAAAGAGAGGATTTATCTGCTCCACAGGGCCTGGAAGACCGAGGGATTCAGGGTAGAAATGACAGGGTCATGAGATTATCGTCTGCCACTGAATTCCCTAACACTTCAAAATGTGGTAACACTTTTGTACCTAAAAATGATATCAAGGGATGCTTCTCTTGAGTTAGCTGAGGAATAACTTGGGGTGAACCTCCCAAGCAGTACAGTGAAAAAAGAATTTCAAGTTCTTTAAAAAGTTAAGTTCCAATGCATTGTAAATAATGCCTCTGTAATGTAGTTCTGCAGTTTGTTCTTTGCTAGTGAGTAAGTATGGTCAAAGTGTATGCCCTTTCCTTTCAAAACTAACCTCTTTTCAAAATACCTAACTAGTACTTACTTCACTGCATAGCACCCCAGTTCTTAATTCAAAACAGGAGAAGACACGCCCATGACCTGGGTTTTTCTCCTCCTCCGTCCTCTATGGGAAAATAACAATACAAGTTAAAAGGATTGCCAGTAATACTGACCTGAACTCTAAAAAAACGTTTCTAGTTCTAGGCTGTCTCTTGCCATTGTGTGTACTGTATAGCTGTGGTAGCATTCTTAGGTGCCCCATGGCCAACAGCTTTGAGGAGTGTCCTGCTTTCCAGAGTAAGCCTAGGCTACACTGTGCAGCACCCCAGAGAGACAGGAGACCATGGTCTACTTCAAGCCCTTTCTCTTGCTCCTGGCGCCCCTGCCTTCTGCCCCATCAGAATACTCTCAGGGAAGGACCAGAATGCAGGTCTCTATGTGAACTTCTTCCAGGGCTATTTGCATTTAAGCCTTAATTCGAACTGCAAGTAGAATTGGTCCTCCTGCGTAGGCACAGCTCACTGATGGATGAGGCACTTGCCAGTCCCATGGCCACCTGTTGGCTGTGTAGATCAAATCCTTTGAGAAACTCAACATATGAATGCCAATTAACACTACACAGGAATTCTCACTCCCTACTGCCATTTGGGAGGTAGGGCCTGCTTAGCAACATCCCTGGGCTCTTCCCACCAGATGCCAGTAGTGATCTCTAAGTTAGTCATGATAACATGTCAAATGTTTCCAGGAGGCCAGTCCCAGTTGAGGACCAGTAGAATAAGCTAGTGCTTTGTCATGTACCAATATGCAGACAGATGAAGTACCCCCTTTTCATGTTATAAGAAATCCTGTATACAAAACTGCTGGCCTTCATCTTGATACACAAGATCAGAATTTTCCATGGTCTTTAGTGGGACTGGGCAAGATATGAACAGAGGCCAATCTGCTGGTCTCACACTGCTATTCACAAAAGATGCTACCCACATTCCTAGAAAACACAGCTGAATTGTCTTCATTTCCTTGGTCACTTTTTACTGGAAGCAACAGTGATCTATTAACATATCTGTGGCTTTCAACTGGTGACAACATTTAACCAGATATTATTAAAAGACATTCAAGTTCTACCTTTAACATGGAAAATCAAAGGGCTTTTCTTTCGCCAGTGAACCAATGCTATATTCACTGATGTCCTTCCTAAGTGCTTTCCTCTGTGAAGACAAAAACTCCTGGCATGTTTGTCATGTAAGTGGACTGTTAAGAGGAAAAGGGAAGACGTAGGGCACGATGTATGGATTAGACATGGTTCAGCCCTCTGATGCTCAACTCTTAACCTGGCTTCAGTACCCATGTATGGTATGGGTGGGGGCAAATCTCTTTCATCTTTCTGTGCCTCTGGATCCCCACCTGAAAATGAGACTAGTTATACTAACCTACCTCCTCTATTATACTGTGAGGATCTGAGAATAACACTTTTTAAAGAAAGTACAGGTTTTGATCTCCTGAGTCCAGGCTAATGGGTCACAATGAACCAGACCCAAGGTGATTTTCCAGAGTGTTCTCTGGCCACAGCATCTTCCATTCAAGCCTCCGTGTGTACCTGGTACACAACTGCCTGACATTGAGGCGGTCAAGCCAAATAAACATTTAAGAGAGATTTCTTGTGACGCCAGAAAATAGTACTACAAATGTTCCCAATCCTTATGAGGCCTGTTTCAGTGGCACTCTGCGAGTGCCAAGAGCAGGACCCTCAGCCAGCAGTGTCTTTGTTACCCCTAAAAGCATCTGTGAGCAGCAGTCCCCAATACTAAGCAATTGTTAACCTGCCTTCTGCCTCTTTATTACCTAAACTCTGGAATTCAAGGAGTCCCCCAACCCATAGTTTATGTCCTTTGTTTCCAAAGCGAATCTTACGAGGTACAACAGAACTGGAGTTTATAGAGGTGGTTGGCCTACAAAGCAAAGGGGGTTAGTCGATTCCACGCAACTTTCAGATTGCTGAAATTTGGTGGTACTTCAGCAGTACAAGCCAGGAAGTGGGTGGGTGGGGAGTCCTGGCTTTCCTGATGAACAATGTTGACTTCAATCATAAACAGCTAGAAGCTGAAACTATTGCGACAATTGGGAGGGGAAGGCATCGCTGTTCTCTCAAGGCATGCAGTTCCTTGAGTGTGCAGCTGCCTAACCTTGTCTTGGGGAAGGTCAAGGGGCTGCTGGCACTGTACACCAAAGCCCTTCAGTGAAACTCTAAGAAGAGGCCAAAAAACAGGCTTCAAGAAGGTCTGGGAAGGGGTCCTTTGCTGCTGAGGAAGGAGGATGATTTTGGGTGTTTGCTCCTGAGTCCCATGCAGGAAGGCCTTTCCGACTTCTCCCACCCTTGGAGACCGGATGGCCCAGCCCCAGACTTTCTCAGCATTGAGAGGAAGTGGGAAGTGGGCAAATGAGAAAATGTTAAATGCATGATGTAGAATTGCTCCTTTTGCACTATGCTGTTGTATTAAGCATGAGAGGTGTTTTTTTTAACGTTGGCAAAGGAATTTAACAAGAAACAAAAAGCTTTGTGTCCTTGTTTTGGCTGTTGACAGAATTTCCATTTTCCTTCCTTCAATACCCCTCTCCCCATCCCCTGGCCCATCCCCTGACTGCATCCACTTTCTGTCACTGGTTGTGGGTATTTGGTGGCTGCTCTTGGTCCTTTTGCTGTTCATGATTCACTGAAGATAAGGAGGGTGGGGAATGATAAGGAAAGTAACTTTTTTCTAATTTTTGTATTGGTATCCACAAGCGTTTGTATTTTTTGAATTGCAAACACTGTGTTTTCTGGTCTTTGGGGGTTGGTTGAATTTTCTGTATTACCTTTTGGAAAACTTGAGTTTTACCACAATCTTAAGCAGATTTGAAATAAATTCTTTTGACACTGCCAACAACTAAAAGACAAGCTGTGGTCTGTAATTACTGCTCAGTGGCAAAATATGCCTTTTTCCAAGCTGGCCCTGACTAGCTACTGGGGAGGGTAGAAGCCATAGGAAAGGATGGCATTGCTGGGTGGTGGATTAGTGTAGTTCTGCTTAGTGAGCTCAAGTAATCTTAAGTTGATTACGAATGACTCTAAATTGTAAGACAACAATCTCTAACAGTGGGAAGTCATGAAAGCACCTAACCATTAACACATGGTTAAGATAAATTCATAATCAAAAATTGATGGTGAGTTCAAAGTAGAGAGATATGGGGGAAACATCGTAACCCATCATTGAGCGTCCAGGGGCTTATTTAGCCCCTTCAGCCACACAGACTGAGCATGGTGTTCTAGCCTGAATACTCCATCCCTTGTTGCCACCATCCGATTGTGACCCTCACCCCGACAGCCCTAAGACCATATCTACTAGATTACTAGTTGGACTCAGCTGGGTCAAAGGGTGTTGTAAGTTGGCTATCAGAGAAGGCAGACTTTCAGAATGTTTCAGGGAAGGAGTTGTTGCAATGCTCCAGGGATCAATGCCCAGAAAAGCCAAAAGAAAGCTGGAGTGGACAGGAGAGGACATTCAGCTGTGACTGAACCCAACAAAAGTCTCATACAAGTTGACTCTTGGCGAGGTGAGTGGCTTTCATATCCTCACATCCATCATTCATTGTGGGTCACCTAGGAAGCACATGAGGGAACCCTCATCTGAAGGCTTATAGTTTATTTCAAAGAGAGGATGTTCTTCATTCCTGAAATGAAATCTTGTAAGATTTCACAAGGTCCAATGCTTGTGCCATGCCATGTTTTGTAATGCCAAAAATGCTATTCTGGAATTGCAGCGAGGTATGCTTCAAATAGTTAGTGGGTCCCCTATCATTGTAGCTATCTTTGGAACTGCAAATGGCACATTCTACCTCCTCACTTTCAGGAGTGCCTTTGCTGATCTTTGGTGGCTTACCTGTTGGCATGATCTAGATCCTCATCCCTGGTGGATCTGAGCCTCCATCACCAAGCTCTTCTCAGGTCCAGGCTACTGTCCTCTTTTAGATCCTATCAAAAATTGGGAGAAAGAATTATTCAGGGATGTCCCAGTGAATGACTAGGGTGCAAAGAGATTCCTCCCTGCTACCATTGTGGGACAGCTACTCATAGTCACCTGCCCCTGCAAGGTGCAAAGCTTTTTTTGCCCAGAGAACAATGTTAGCTTGTGGTTCAGTAGGATAAATGCTGAGTTCTCTAATCCTTCGTTGGGGGAGTAGCACCTCTAGGTCCACAGGGCCACAAGCCAAGAGGATAGGAATTTCAAGTCATCTAACAGATTCTTAGAAGTGTTGACAGACAGGACACACAGCTCCATACAAATGCATTGATATCGAAGGTATATGCTGCCCCCTGGAGGGTGCTGTCTCATTCTCAGAAAGCATTGTCTAAGATGGTTCCTCAGCTGTACCTGCAAGAGCTATTTCCCTCCTTTTATCTGGATGGCAGTTCAGGATGGTGGACTCTAGAACCAGTCTTGTATCTCCTTTGTTACCATTTACATCCCTTGGTTGTAAACAATGTTATCTTGTGAGACCCCATGTTAAGGGATAGTCAAATAATCTATTCACCTTGGGGATAACAACTGGAGGAAACCTTGCAAACAGGAAAGGAAACCCATGACCAGGGTAATGATCTATTCCCAACAAGATGAATCTCTCTTCCAGAGGGGAAAGAATTCAAGATAGCACTTAACAGTACCCTTGCAGCATGCTCCACATTGGGGACCCTGGAATGACAAGGGTGGCCATCCTCAATCCTCAAGTACTGATGCAGTTAGGATGCTGGGTATGGCTTCTCCCCTTCTCTCCCCTTTCCCCCAGATACAGGAAGAAGAAAAAGAAAATTGGAAATAATGGTCTCATCCACTTTCCCCTAGTTCTTGACCCTTCCTATCCCAATCAATGATTCACATGGGTATGTATCCTTCTCAACTATGTTAACATCATCACAAACAAAATTTAAAAAAAAAAAAAGTTTTTTTTTTCAAGGTACCAAGCATTCTACTTTGGTTGGTCTTTCTGGGGAAATAGTTTATTGTCAGGACTAAGTGTTGGACTTGGTTGCTGCCAGAGTATTTCAGTAGCAATAGCAGCAGTTGGATGAGCCCGAGTAGGAATAATAGAGGTGTCATCACTTTAAACGTGAGTCTATCCACAACAAAGCACAGGATTTTTCCTCCTCTGCCAGCTGATTCCAGGGTGAGTTCAAGGCCATTGTGTGCAATGTCTGGGTGTTAGCCACACTTTCTGCTTGTGCACAAACACAACTGACAGTGCACTGCCATTGGCCCTACCAAATTTCATGCTGTGGTAGGTCTAACAGAACTGAGCTTTTGACATTTCAGGCTGTAGATGACTTAGTACTTGGGTACTAATCAGACCCCCATGGCCTTGCTAGAGGCCTGACTATACCATCATTCTGCTAGGGTCCCTCCCTAAGCATCACACAAGTTGCTTTAAGTGACTTCAAAAACCTTCACATCCTGACCTTGACATTCCTTCCATCCTGAACTGCTATTGTTTGCTTTCCAAAATGGCTGGTTCTCTCCTCCCTCAGCACATATTGCTCCCTTTGACTGACACATTCTCCCCTGATGGCTGGGTCAGAATGTCCCTTGTGCAGTGTGCTGGTGCCCATGGCATCAGAGCTGCATGATGTGTCTGCCCCCAGTCTTCACGTTCACTGCTGGGTTACAGCACCAAGCACAGTTCCTGAGAATGCAACAGAGATACACATGGGTAAAGCCATGAGTTAATTATGTTCTCAACATCAAGCTTTCGCAAAACCTATCCAGATCCACTTCCTTACACCTCACCTGTATCAGGGTGGCTCAACCCTTCCTGTGTTGGCCCACACTTAGTAGCCATGAACTCCTAGAGGACAAAGACCCTATGTTTTTGTCATCTCTGATCTTGCACCTAGCTCCACTTCTGACCTGGAATTAATGGCACGTATGTATTTGGGTATAAATATATTCACAAAGAAATGTCTTAATTTTCTTAATAAGAATGTTTGATCCTGGGCTTGGAGAATAGACAGGTTTGAAAAATGCAGTGAAGAGAGGAGGGAAATTACTCTAGATAAGAAAATCAGTGGAATGAAGACTGCAGTGTTGGGAGCAGTCAAGCTACCTACCACCTGTAGGAGTGTGAGCAGTGCTGGGAAAGTGGAGTAGGTGATGTTGTGTAGAGGACTGAGAAAAAATCAGCATTTGTTTGAATGGAAGTACTAAGATATAAGCTAAAACTATCTGTTAACAGTCAAGCCACAAAATGTTATTTTTTATTTATGTAACCTTTTATGAAGTAGATTTCATATACACAGTAGGCTGAAAATTAAAAATTGCTTTTCCACAAAACAAATGGTATCTTACTAAATGCTTTGTTTATTCATGGCAAATATAACATAAATCATTAAAAATGTTTATAAGGCAATTACATGTCAATTACTAGTATTTTTCAAAACAGTAAACTTATGAAGAACCATATTATAAGCATATGCAACAGACATCAGTGAGCAAAAACTTAAGTGAAACTTGCTGGAAAACACTTCAGTGTCTTTCAGTGGGTTCTCTTCAAGCTCTTGCTGCATCTTGTCCCAGATGCTCAGTGCCTTAAAACAGACACTTCGGCAACTAGAAATGGTAGTTCTGTGTGACTTTTCTTCCTCTAAAATGAAAAAACAGTTTTTGGAACATAAAGCAAAAGCCCAGAAGTCTAGCAAACTGGTTGCCATTTTTCTTTTTATCTAATAAAGTACTTCATTTCACTACTCTTGAGGAATTTATTTTCTTGATATCACTTGGGCTCAGAATCAATGTTCCATTTTTGAATTTTCCAATCTGTCCATTCCGTCCATTTGACAAAATGCTGGGAGCCGATTTCTTCTTTTTGGATTTCCTGCATTCAAAGCAAGAGAAAGGTACTGTGCAGTAAGGTCTATACTGAAGCATTGGAGCATCACGAACGAGCTACTGCAGCCTGGTTTACCAACACCAGATTCCCTTTACACAGCCCTCATTCCATGTAATCCCACTGGCCTTCCTGCCTCGGGAACTCCGTGTGGAATATTCTGCTTCTAGATCTTTTCGGGCTATTGCCTCCTCTTTGCCCAGTTGTCAGCTTGGATTCTATCCCTTTTCAAGGAACTCCCCAGCTCATGTGCAGGGAGGATCTTCTCTCACAACTCCTCTCTCCAGCCTTCTCTTGACATTTTCCAGTGCCCGACAGCATTTTATTTTTCATTTGTACATGTCTGGGTATTTCCCTTACTAGTGCCAGCTTCTCAAAGTGATATCTTCAGTGTGAAGAAGGCTATTATATACACAAAGTATGTATGTACAGGGGGCACACAGTGGGTACTCAACAGACACCTGGGCCAGAACAAATGACCATTCCACGGTACGTACAAACACAACAAACCCAAGAATAAAGGTTAAGACAGAAACAATCATTTTCGAAAGAGTAATTCAAATAGAGTGGAAGAGGTACCTTGAACCAAAGTTAAAGAACTTGATCTTGGCCAATTAATCAAACATTCCCGTTACAGGGACTGAATTGGATGAGATTGTGAAACACTTAATAGGCTGGACAGCAGATACTCTCTAGGCATTATTTTCAGAACCAATCAACAGGCATATACAGATCACTGAACTCTAGTTCCCAGTGGTAGCTACTCACCCATCTTCTTGCCCTTTTTTCTTCTTTTTCTTGAAAAAATCTGTGTCCTGGGCCTGATTTCAAAATTTAAGGTAACATTTGTGTTAGCAGCAGATAATACAAATTCCAGAAAAGACAAGAAGTTTCTGACCAGAACTCACTGAGATACTATTTATTCTTAATATTTTTTAAAGTAGGAATATTAAACATAACAGTTTCAAAGTTTTACTCTACAGTTTTTTCAAAAGTATGAAATCCAGTCTTAAACTAAAAATAAAATCTTTCATTTTAGAAGAAAGAAAGGAAGTGTAACATCTCTTCTGCTTGTGGCTTTCGTAGGTCTTTGTGCTTTATACAAAGGAAAAATGGAAAAAAAACCATGTAGAAAGAAGATCAAAGTCATCTGCTATCTGAATAAGAGTTGTTAACTCAAAGCAAAGCTTCCATATAAATAGGCTGGATAACAAAAATGAGGAATTGGATCATTTGCTTTGCTGCTCTGATCACTTTCTGAATACCAGTCCCCAGCATTCCATCATGAGACACTGTCCACCTTTCTCTGCAAGTTTAATAGAATAAATAACAGACTATCATGCCTACCTTTTTCTTTTCTTCTTTCTCTGCTGCCTGTTTTTCTTTGATTTGCTCCTGCAAAACCTTGTAATTCACGTAACTACTTTTGGGAGGCTGAAAACAAAGAAATACTTGTTATTGTTTCTTATTCCATGAAAATATTCTAGTAATAAAAGCCTTTCCCTCTGATGATGGAAATTAATAACAGCCTCTCACTTTAGCACCCAGCATGATGGCACGTTCTCGTTCCAGGACTCTTTCTGTTCCTTTTCCATAGCCCGTGATGCCAAACCGGTGTACTTCCAAACGAGCCTGTGGACACAAAACAGAAGTAGATCCAAGCAAGTTCAAACTAGTGTGTATACACACACACACACACAAATCCTCCTTAAGAGTAGCACATTTCTGACACACTGTAGCAGTCAATCTGCAGCAGAGTGGGTGTAGCACTGTGGAAGGCCTCCCAGCATGCTACCAATAGCTCCCACCTTTAATTCTGACAGTTCAAGCAAAGAAACATCTCCACACCAATTACGTCAAAGTAACGATGTAGAGCTCTATCATACTTAAGGATGAGAACTCCCAATACTCAGTCTTAGGCTTCTTCTTTTTTCTTACTCCTTTTTAAAACCTGTCATCACCAAAGAATACACGCATTTCTGCTTTTCTTATTATTATATCACTGCCTTTGTAGTTATACAACAGGCACTAAATAAGTTTCTGCTATTCACTCAAATGAATGTAGTAATTAATACTTTTTAAACCATTAGACATGTAAAATGTTAGCTTTTTGTAATTATAAATAAAGCTATTAATGCATAATTTTTGGCAAACTTAACATATAATGCATAAATACAAAATTTAACAATTTAATAAACCTCAAAGTACATACCTTTTCTAGATTAAATTCTTGTACATCTGCAGCTTTCTCAAGGACACTAGTTTTAGTCTGTGAAAAAAAAAGAGCTTATTAAACTCATCTGTTACTAAGCCAATGTAGTATATATCACCAACAGAATAGACATCATTTTAAAAAGCCTTGAATACAACAATCTCATTCATTAGCTCACATTCATTAGATTAGCTACTATTAATAAAACATAAAATGTTTTTAACTTAAAAAAGAAAGTAACAAATATTGGTGAGGATATGGAGAAATCAGAAGTGTTGTGCTCTATCGATGGAAAGGAATGGTACAGCTGTCATGGAAAACAGTATGGCAATTCCTCACAAACATTAAAACAGCATTTTCATTCGATCAAGAAATTCTGCCTCTAGATTATGTACAACTATGTATACAACTATGTTCACAACAGCCTTGTTCACAACAGTTAAAATGTAGAAGCAATCCAAATGTCAATTGACAGATGAACTAACTAATTAATTTGCTGAAAGGCAGAGTTAGAGAGGGAGGAGATATGGAAAGAGAGATTCTACCTACTGGCTTACTACCCAAATGGCCCAAACAGCCAGCACTGGGTTAGGAACTTCACCAAGATCTCCCTCTGGGTAGCAGGGACCCAAGAACTTGGCCCATCTTCTGCTGCTTTCCCAGGTGCATTAGTAGGGAGCTGGACTGGAAGTAGAGCACCCAAGAATCGAACCAAAACCTTAATCCATTATTTTACAATACTAGTCCCGAAAGATTTTTAAATTAAATGTGCCATATTCACACAATAATTATTACTTCAGCTCTTCCCCTTTTTAAAACAAGAAAATTCTGGCACATGCTCCTGCTCCTTCTTTTTTTTTTTTTTCTAAGATTTATTTATTTTTATTGCAAAGTCAGATATACAGAGAGAAGGAGAAAAAAAGACATATAGACTAATGGAACTGAAAATCTAAGACCAAAAAAAAAAAAAAAATCCACATATGTGATGATCAATTTCGGTGACAACTTGACAGGATTAGGAATATTCAGAAACTTGGAAAAGTATTATTTTGATTTTGCCTGTTAGGGTGTTTCCAGAGGTGAGCATACGAGCCTGAGTGGCCCAGGTGCAAAAATTCACCAGAGTGTGGGTGGGCATCATCAATTAGCTGGGGAACCTGCAAACAATAAATACAAAGATGCAATGGTTTGTCTGGAGAGCTAGAGGCTGCCCTGGACAGCAGAACCCTCAGGCTTCTGGCTTTTGACACAGACTTACACTAGTGGACCCTTCTGCCTAAGTTATAATACCACCAAATTCCTTGATACTGAGAGGCCTTTGCATTCCAAGCTGAATCATGTTATTGGCATCCTGAAGTCTCAGATTGCAGGTGATCTGTCATGGAACTTCTCAGCTGCCATCCCTAATCCCTTTTGTCATGTTTTATGTACATTCACCCCATTGATTCTGTGTCTCCATAGAATCATGACCAATATAATGTCTTTAAAGTCAACGAATGTTTGACACAGGCAGCAATAGCAGGCATAGCATTAAGAGTATTTCACTCTTTAAAAAAAGATTTATTTTTATTTGAAAGGCAGATTTACAGAGAGAGAGAGAAATCTTTGGTCCACTGGCTCACTCCCAAAGTGGCTGCAACAGCTGGAGTTGAGCAGATCTAAAGCTTCTTCCAGATTTCCAATGCAGGCACAGGGTCTCAAGGAATTGGGACATCCTCTACTGCCTTCCCAGGCCACAAGCAGGGGGCTGGATGGGAAGTGGAGCAGGTGGGACACGAACTGGCATCCATATGGGATCCCAGCATGCAAAGTGAGGATTTCTGCCTCTGAGTCATTGTGCTGAGCCTGGAAAGTGTTTTCGAAAACTGGTGCTGGAAAGGACAGATGCTTGGGCTGGTGGCCCTAGTTAACACGCCCACAGCCCAGGGGAGAGCAACAGGATTCAAAACATGGTTCTCCTCTTAAGTACAGTTTCTTGCAAATGCAGAGGCCAGGATACAGCAGAGATGGCTCCAGTAATCCAGACTGTATTCCTACTCCTGGACTTGGCCTGGATCAATTCCAGTCATTGTAGGCATTTGGAGAAAGAACGAGCACATAGGGGTTCTGTCTCATCCTTTCTGTCCCTTTGCCTCTTAAAGAGAAAAATATAAATAAATGCTACTAAGAAACCCGGGTACTCATATGCAAAATAAACCATACTCCTTAGCTCTCACCATATTAAAAAAAAAAAACACAACGTGAATCATACATTTAAGTACAAGACCTGAAGTTACTAGCATAAAGTGTTTCCCTTGAGTTGAAAGCACCTGGGGACCTACACTTCAGAAACTGCCCGCCCAGTTCTTTTAGGGCCTGACTGGTGTGTTTAAGAAACAACTCCCAACATCAACTATTTAGTTTTTGTTTTCCTAGTGGGAGAGGCAGATGTCAGGGAGGGCTATGCTATGTACAAAGTCTTCACACCCACCTCTCCAGTCTATGGAAGAGCTCTACAATTAACACGCATGGTCTTCGGGGGAAAAAGTGTTTCATTCTTTAAGACATTGATCTGGGCAGCTTCTGAATATGATTCCAAAATCACAGGGAACAAAACTAGACACTGATGAATGGACTTAACATCACACTAAAAAGCTCTGTGTAGCCAAAGAAAGAATTAACACAGTGAAGAGATAATCTAAAGGAGAAAATATTTGCAAGCTACATGTCTGACAAGGGGTTAGTAATCAGACTATTTAAGTTACTCAAACTCAACAAACAAATAATCCAATTAAAACGGGCAAACATCAGGCTACTACGCCAGGCCATGAGTTGTCTAATTTTTAAAGCTCTAGAAAATCATTAGTTTGCCTTCTGCTAACATATTCTGGCTAATTCACAGTCAATCTTTTTTGTTTTTTTTTTTTAAAGATTTATTTTTATTATTTTTTCATTGGAAAGGCGGATATACAGAGAGGAGAGACAGAGAGGAAGATCTTCCGTCCAATGATTCACTCCCCAAGTGAGCGCAACGGGCCAATACTATGCCGGTCCGAAGCCAGGAGCCTCTTCCGGGTCTCCCACGCGGGTGCAGGGTCCCAAAGCTTTGGGCCGTCCTCGACTGCTTTCCCAGGCCACAGGCAGGGAGCTGGAAGGGAAGCGGGGCTGCCGGGATTAGAACCGGCGCCCATATGGGATCCCGGGCGTGCAAGGCGAGGACCTTTAACCACTTGCGCCACCGCGCCGGGCCCAATCTTTTTTGTTTTTAAGATTTATTTATTTTTATTAGAAAGTCAGATATACAGAGAAAAGGAGAGACAGAGAGGAAGATGTTCCATCAGTTGATTCTCTCCCCAGGTGGCCCCAATGGCTGGAGCTGAGCTGATCCAAAAAATAGTATTCTTGAGAACTATTAAGCCGAAGGCTTAGATACAGGAAAAAGTAAGTAAGTCAGCCTGGGTTCATCAAATCCTGTACATTTCCCAAAAAAAAGTCTTGTTTTCATGATTGGCCAATGGTTGGCTCTTGAGAACTGACCAATTTGAATATTCTGTCCAACAAAATGTTTTTGTATGCCTGAGACTTTGAGCCCCTGAAGTACCAAGCTTCCCCTCAAGGTTTATATTAACACCATTTATGGCAAACATCTTTTATTCCCTGGAGGCCTAGAGCTTAAATGACAAGTTTAAACTACAAGCGTACATGATGGACAAGGACTCCATGTTCAGTCTTGAATCACATGAGCCGTTTTAGCAAATCCTCAGTCCTTAGGGTGGTCTTCAAGACCCTTGACACAGTTTACAAACCATACACCAAATACCACAATGTCAGAGCTCACCACTCACACGTAACCTAACCAACTCATTACCTTTGCGTTCTCGTCTGGATCTTGCTTCAGCTTCCTTTTCTTATGTCTGCTGTGAAATTCTACCACTTCTATTCCTCCGCTTGTTTTCTTCAGGGGAGAGGACGATACTGCAGCAGCATGGACTTCTGGTTGAGAGGGGGGATCCGGGCAGGGAACAGCAGGAGCACAGTGCAACTCTTCTCGGAGTTCCTTGAAAAAGCTGGAGGCATTCTTCTTCTGACGCCTAGAAAGAGAGCCAGGTGCAGGAGCTGGTTCTGCCACCAGGGCCATTAGAGCCTGGCCATCCTTCTTCTTATTTTCCCTTTTCTTTCTGACCTTTGTCTTTTCTGCTTTTTCTGTTTCTCCTGTTTGTTCAAACACAATAGGGAAAAATGAGCTTTTCTGGTTTTAACTATCACCAATACCAAGTCCTACTAATGCACCTGTGTGCATGTGTCATGGCCAGAGGCTCCCAGAAGTACACACTAAATTACTGTTCTGCGTGTAAGGTGTACCTGCACACTTCTTAGAATCTGAAATGCATTCTTTTCCCCAGTTAACTGTGTCTGACACGGTCTGGTGCTCACTCAGTTGTCCTTACTGCAACGGGTCCCAATTGCACCTGCTTTGTTCTCAGAACATCTATCACAACAGGCAGTGTTCCTGTTGAACCCTCTCTGAGGCTACAAGTACTCAGAACAGTCACCTTATTCTCTTTCGCAGTTTGAATTATGATGAACCAAATACACCTGCCTTAATTGAATCCCATTATTTCCACTAAAACTTTGTATCTACTGTTTTCATCTTTTCTTTTTTTGTTTTTTTTTTAAAGATTTATTTTCATTATTTTTTTATTGGAAAGGCGGATATATAGAGAGGAGAGACAGAGAGGAAGATCTTCCATCCGATGATTCACTCCCCAAGTGAGCGCAACGGGCCAATACTATGCCGATCTGAAGCCAGGAGCCTCCTCAGGGTCTCCCACGCGGGTGCAGGTTCCCAAAGCTTTGGGTTGTCCTCGACTGCTTTCCCAGGCCACAGGCAGGGAGCTGGAAGGAAGTGGGGCTGCCGGGATTAGAACCGGCGCCCATATGGTATCCCGCGCGTGCAAGGTGAGGACCTTTAACCACTTGCGCCACCGCACCGGGCCCTGTTTTCATCTTTTCAAATGCTTACAATTTACCCAATATTCTGACCAAAATTCTAGGGTGTATTACTCACTACATTACAAAAATTTCCAAATATGAGTTTGCCTTTTTTTTTTTACTATTCTCAAAAAACAAAACAAAAATAAACAACTTATTAAGAGACAATTAAGCTTTGGTATTTGGGACATAAAAATGAGTAGATATGGGCCCAGTGGCGTGGCCTAGTGGCTTAAGTCCTCGCCTTGAACGCACCAGGATGCCTTATGGGTGCCGGTTCTAATCCTGGCAGCTCCACTTCCCATCCAGCTCCCTGATTGTGGCCTGGGAAAGCAGTTGAGGACAGCCCAAAGCTTTGGGACCCTGCACCCGTGTGGGAGACCCGGAAGAAGTTCCTGGATCCTGGCTTCGGATCGCTCACTTGGGGAGTGAATCATCGGACGGAAGATCTTCCTCTCTGTCTCTCCTCCTCTCTGTATATCTGACTTTCCAATCAATAAATAAATCTTTAAAAAAAAATTTTTTTTAAATGAGTAGATAACACAGTCTGTGACTTCAGGGCTTTCTCTTAGCATAAATATTTCCTGGTTCTGTGAACACAAACTAGAATTTGGAAGAACAGTTTTTTCTTCTGGCTTTAAAAATTCTGAAGTTTAGAGGTGAATCTCCTGTGTTTTTCAATAATCTTAAGGGCAAGAAAGATTCTGTCCATAGTACAAATTAGGACAAACACACAGGTGGAACAGGCTCTACAAATTATTAGCTAGGTAACGTTCAATAAATGTATCTGGCCCAGCAGGTTAAGAGATGGCTTGTGACGCTGGTGTCCCAAAAGGGCATGTGCTTCAGTCCCAGTTGCTCCACTTCCAATCCTGCTTCCTGTAACACGCCTGGGAAAGCAGTAAAATACTTCTAAGTATTTGGGCCTCTGCATTCCTGTAGGAGACCTGGAGGGCGTTTCACCTTCCTGGCTTCAGCCTGGCCCAGCCCAGGCTACTGCAGTCATTTGGGAAGTGATCCAGCACATTGAAGATCTCTTTCGAATAAACAAACAAATCCTCTACAAGGATTTTTCTTTTACTTCTAGTACTTGTTTCTACATTTCTAATAATGGAATTGCCTGTTTCATGAGGTGAAAAATCAAGTAAAAATATGCAAAAAGCCTGTAGTACCTGGTAAGTTCTCAATACTTCAAAGCTCTTGTACTGATAAGGTGACCTTAGGATCTTCAGCAATTGCTAAGTCAGTGCCTGCAATACCACTGTAAATTTAAGGAACATATTTGATACTAACTCATTAACACCTCACGAGGGATTGGCTTTGGAACAAGTACAGGAGATATTACATTCCCCACGGCAAGTTTTTCAGCCTTAGGGACTGCCTTCTTTCTGAATTGTCAGGCAGCTGTCCATCTCTAATAATAAGCCTTCTGGATTTGAACTGTAATACTGCAACAAGGTGGAGGAATCCACCATGGGGGGAGGGCAGGGGAGGGGTTGGGGGAATCCTAGAGCCTATGAAACAAAATGAAATAAAATAATAATAATAATAATAAGCCTCCTAACTTTCATGGACCCCCATGAAGATCGGGGAAGAGCAAAAAGTTGGCCAACCAGTAAAAAAAAAAAAAATTACAAAAAGCTTTGTCAAGTTGCTCTCTAAAGTCCCTGGCTAGTTTTTACTCACGGAAGGAACACGTTCTTCCGATTTAAGGATCCTCTTTTACGTGCCAGGCAGATGACAGTCTTAATCACAGGTTATTTAATTCCCTTCTTCCCTCATTAAGATAAAGGAAGAAGAGCAAAAGGTCGGCCAACTTGTCAAAAAAAAAAAAAAAAAGCTGTGAAAATTTCACCAAAACGTTCTCAGAGTCTTTGGTGAGGGTATACCCTTTCAGGCCGGCTCAGGCACGTCTGGAAGCCGCCTTGCGGGACTTCCACGGGTGCGAAAACGTGAGAAGGGGGCTATTTCAAGATCCTGAACCTATCACCCCAGTTAAATCTGAAAGTCCTGGTCTGAGTACCTGTCGCTTGGTCTTCAGTGGCGGGACCCAACGGAAGGTTTGCTTCATGAATAACTCACGAAAGCCAGTCGAGGGGCGGGAAGCGCTTCCCCTAGAGTAGAAGGGTGTGCTGGGCCCACTGTCGGAACGCGGTAGGACCAACTAAGGGGGTGCTTGCTCTGCAAGAACCTTCAGCCTGAAGGAAAAGCCAGTTCTCGCCGCCGAGATCGCTTCCGCTCTCCACGTGGGTTTCCGGAGCCTTGCACTCACCAAAGTCATAGAGGTTCTGCAGCACAGCGTCCAGAAGTGTGGGAGACCTCGGAGGCGCAGCAAAGTCCAGCTCCTGCTCTTGCGGCATCGTGGAGTCCACGGCAAACTCACAGCCGCTACGATACCTGCCTCCAGGATTCCGTCCTGCGGGGCCCTCACTTCCTGGCTCTGGCGCCAGTGCGCCTGCGTGCCTGCGCGTCTGCGCAACGGGACCCCATGCGGCTTCCGTCCTGGATAAGATGGCGGCGGCCGGGGTCTTGGGGAGCGGTCGTAGAGGGTGCCGCCGCCCTAGGCGAGGTCTGGCCGCCCTGCGCGGAAGAACCGCCCCCTGCAGCACCATCTCCAACGCTTAGCAAAGGAACCCAGGCCCCGCCCGGGACGGCAGCCACACCATGGATTCTTCTAGTTCATCTAGTTATTTCTCTGTCGGCTCCACTCCCAGCTCTGTGGTTCTCCTCTACTCGGTAGGCACACCCCAGGGAACGAGTCCCAGATCGAGCCCCCGAGAGAGGCCCCTCTTGTCCTAGTCTCTTACCCTTTGGACTCTCGATCACTGCCTCCCAGAAAGTGGGTTCTGAGACCCCCGAGGAGGGGCTCTGAGTGGGTTGGTCTCCAAGGCAACGTATATCGCCGCGAGTCCGTGTAAATGTGTGTGAGCTTTCCCAAGTTTCTACGGAAGTGATTGCTCTGTTTTATTCCCATTCCGCTCTTCTCTTTCCCCGAATTGGGCTCTGGGCCTCCAGAAGTAGTAATGAAAGTTGAAATCTTCCCACCCTGTAAGCGAGAGCAAGTGGAGCAAACCTTAGAAACCCACGCGGTCCGACCCAGACTGAAATAGCCTGTAGCTCTCTACCATGTCTGTTTGCTGTTGCGATAGTCCTGAGGGGAAAAAGCATCCGGCTTTTCTGCAGGGGTGGTTTATTTAATCTAAAACTGGAAAGATTTAAAACTAGTGGGAGTTTGTATTGGCGCTTTTCATCTTCTGTTTTTCGTTGTGCATTTTTCACAACTCATCTTAGAGAACAGCTATTGCCATTCTGCCGCTTTCCAGTTTGCATTTTTTACTCCCAACTCCAATTCGTCTTATGTTTTTAGCTGTATGGGGTTTTTTCCTTCCAGAAAAATGGTATCTTCATGGAGAAACTGTGAAGTGAAAGCTTTTAACTCTTGGGATCGCACAGTTGATAGGGCAGATGGCTCTAATGTTGTTTTTTGTTGTTAACTACTAAATTAATCTCTGCTTCAGGAGGAAATACAAGATTGCATTCTAAAGACATGTTATTGTGCCCTGGCTGTCACTTAAATGCAGGAGGGGCAAAATGGAAGTCACCAAAGAAGCAAGATAAGAAGCCTGGTTTCAAGAGAATATGATTCCTTTCCAGTTGGGACACTGATATTCTTTGGAACTTGGGAGATACTGCTCTTCCCTTTCTTTCAAGAACTTGGGATTTACAATTGCTTTTAACTGCCTCTTTAAACCTTCTTTTGGAACATATCTCTCTCCTGGTTTACCCACACACACCACAGTTCTGTGATGGGAATATTTTCATTTTGCTTTCTAAGTTTTCAGGCACTTATGGAAGAGGGCTTTTGTGCAGTTCTTGACCAAATAGATAGCCTTTTTTCAAAGCTGGGCTTTGTGTGTGAAAATTTTCAGGTGTATATTAAAGGAAGAAATTGATTTAAACTTCCCTCTTCACCAGCTTCCTTCTGACCCACCTCCCTGCTGATCCACCTTGGAAGGCAGTGAAAGATGGCTGGTCTCTGTGTGTGTTTTTACAAATTATTTACTTGAAATACAGTTATGGCGCAGCATAGCATAGTGGTTCTATTGGTTAAATTCCCACCATGCAAGCACCAGAACCCATATGGGGTGCCAGTTCATGTCCCAGCAGCTCTGCTTCCCATCCAACTCCCTGTTTGTGGCCTGGGAAAGCAGTGGAGGACATTCCAAAGCCTTGAGACCCAGCACTCATGTGGGAGACCTGGAAGAAGCTCCTGGCTCCTGGTTTCAGTTTGGCTCAGCCCCCAGCTGTGTTGGTCACCCTGGTCCATCTGTTGGTGAACCAGCAGATGGGAGATCTTTTCCTGTGTCTTCTTCCCTCCATAAATCTGATATCTTTCTAATAAAAATAAATACATCTTTTTTTTAAAAAAAAAGGCAAAGTTACAGTGAGAGAAGCAGAGACACAGGTAGAAAACGCTTGCATCCACTGATTCACTTCTCAAGTGCTCCCATAGCGTGAGGCTGGGCCAGGCCAAAGCCAGGAGCCCAAAATTGCTTCAGGTCTCCCGTGTAAGTGCGAGGGTCGGGTACTCAGGCCATCCTTCTCTGCTTTCCCAGGCACATTAGCAGGGAGCTGGATCAGAAGTGGGTCAGCTGGGTCTTAAACTGGAGCCTGTGTGAGAATGTTAGCATCATAGGAAAAGGCCTTACTTGCTGCACCACAACATTGTTGTCCAGTAGTCATGTTTCATTGCTTTCCAAGGTGGATTAATAGGGAGCAGGGTTAGAAAGAAGCTGAGATGGGCACCAGTGCTCTTATGAGATGCTAGTGTTGTGGCCTAACCTTCTGTCCCACAGTTTTTAGGCTGTGAATGGGAAATAAGGAAGAGTAAGGCTGTTTTCCTAGTTAATGTAAGAAAACAACTCCCTTGCATATTTCAGAGAACCAAGTAAGTAACAGTAGAATAAAGAGCACATGAGAAGTAAAAATAAGGAAGTAGAATAAAGGAATTTTGTGTATTGTATTGACACATTTTGATAGGTTAAAAAGAGTACTTTTATGTGAGGCCATTTGTATCTTTTGAAAATCTAAGATGTCTGCTAGATTTCTGTCTGTGTAACATCTTTGGGTAACCACTCAAGTGGGGCCTATAGGAAGAGGATTAAATTGGGGAAGGAATCTGATGCATAAATGTAGAGATCAATTAGGCAATTGCAATTTGAAGTAACCCAGAGATGTGAGGAAGCCTGAAGTAAGGCAATGGCAGTGTGAGTGGGAGGAAGAGGAGTGGATGAATTTGTGTGATACTTCAGGTAGTAAGTCATTAGCCTGTGGAACCAGTTGAATGTGATGGCTAAGGCAAAGGAGGTGCTCTGAAATCAACTGTTGGGTGGCTGTGACTTGGCACCTGGATGGAAGATGACGCCCTTCATTGATAGGAAGCACTTGAAGAGGAGCAGGTTTAGCTAGAGTAATGTAGCTTCATTTGGGATGTGTTCAATTTAAGAGGCAAATGTAATGATTTTAACATGTAGGCTGTTGTGTTATGGACCAGACACATCATAAAGTGTTTGGGAGACATTCAAGAAGAGTTGGGAAATGGTACCAAACAAAAGAGGATGGTGTGGTCTAACCATATGGGTTTGACAGTTATTAGCAATATGTTACATCTGAAGCTAAAAGTATGCTTGAAAATTTTCAATGAGATCATGCAGTAAGAAGCTTGAGGATAGATAACCACTGGTATACCATAATTCAAATTACGGCTTCCTGTTAGAGTCAATGAAGTGATCTGGGTTGCTTACCAGAAGGCTGTACAGGATCTAGTAACAGCTGCTGTTCTAACCTTAATCATCTGGCTCCTGGATCTCCAGTCCTCTGTCTTCCTTTGCTCTGACAGCATGCTTTGTCCTCAGAATGGTCGCTCCTCTGAGTGGCATGCTATTTTCCTGGAAGTTTGAATTGCTGGCTGGCTCTTTAAGATTTTTGATAACCATTCAACCTATGGTCATTCTCTAATCATTAGTTACTGCACTGTTATTTCACTTCAGTTCTCTTTCCAGTGATGTGCTACAGCAGTCTTAAAAATGGATTGCCAGACTGTTTGAAACTTTTCATCAAGCTTACTGTTAAAAGATAGCCTTTATTAGAAGAATAAATTATACAAATTTACAATTAAGTAATTTTATTATAGATACAGCTAACAAAGGTTCAGGAGTTAGCATTTCTTAAGAATTTTACTGAATTTTTACTGTTGCCTACTTTGTTAAGGTTATTGTGTTCATAACACTGGAAGGAGGAGCTTCCACAGTGATGTGTTATTGTGCATTAGTCCAACTGTGCTCTGTGAAGCCCTTGATAGCTTGAAGAATGCTGTTTTAGAAGTATGTATACCCGGAAATTAGCCAACACAAGTCATGGCTCTCTCGTGCAGGTTGTTAAATGATTAAACTTTAACCAGCACTTAGGTGTCCCTAGCTATGCCCTACCTCAATTTGTTGCATTCTGTCTTTTTTCTTAAAGACTTATGTGTAAACTCAGTCCCTTGCCTCCCATGACTGGGCTGTGCTCTTAGCCTGCATAATCGTGCCTGGTACACTGTGGGTTCTCAGTTGCTAGCAGTTGCAGGAGAGGTACAAGGAGAGGTTTGTTAGAGAGAGGTCTGCTTTGCAAATTATAAAAAGGGAGAGCTATTTCACCTAAATCTTAACTTTTGTGAATAGCCATGTAAATTTATTTATTTATTCTGTGTCACATAATGCAATGCAATTAATAATAATAATAAATATATATTGATTGATTGATATAAACACTTCTCCAGGGTGGTTTAGGAAAGACCATTTGGTAAACAGTTCATACCTAGTCCTAACTGTACTTTGGAATCATTTAGAGTACTTAAAAAATGTCCTGATAATGAGGCACCACCCAAGACTACATTAATCAACAATTTCTGGAGTTGAGGGCATCAGAATACTTTTATTGAGCAACCTGACATAAAAACCACCAGAATAGATTGGGTTATGATCAGGCTGGGGACATTTGGACCTTTTCCTGTGAGTACTGGGGGATTGTCGTAACAATTCAAAAAGTAGCTTCATCTAGTAATTTGTGTTTTCTTTGTACAATTACTCACTTGCCACTAAGGATAGAGAGTACAAAAATGTGTAAGGCTTTACCTGTCTGGACAAGAAATGCATAGTTTTGTGGGGAAGGCATCAAATTCAAATTTAAGGAAATGTTCTATAGATCATCTTAAAAATCCAATAAATCCATAAAGATGTAAGAAAGGGGGCCCGGCGCGGTGGCGCAGTGGCGCAGTGGCGCAGTGGCGCAGTGGTTAAGGTCCTCGCCTTGCACGCCCGGGATCCCATATAGGCGCCAGTTCTATCCCGGCAGCCCCGCTTTCCTTCCAGCTCCCTGCTTGTGGCCTGGGAAGGCAGTCGAGGACGGCCCAAAGCTTTGGGACCCTGCACCCATGTGGGAGACCCGGAAGAGGCTCCTGGCTTCGGATCGGCATAGTGTCGGCCGTTGCGCTCACTTGGGGAGTGAATCATCGGACGGAAGATCTTCCTCTCTGTCTCTCCTATCTGTATATCCGCCTTTCCAATTAAAAAATAGTAAAAATAAATCTTTAAAAAAGAAAAAGATGTAAGAAAGGATGACAAGTTTGGTAAAATGGAGAACCAGGAAATGGTACACAGAGGAGACGAACTTGGCAGTGCTTGATGGGTAAATAATTTCCAGGTGAACAGTAGGAGGGGCATTTGTAAATGTCTCTCTTTCAGTAAATGATAGCACATGCACCAGTCAGTTTACTCATAATAAAAGAAACAATGTTTGTCTTGATCAACACTGTGTACCCAGTATAAGCATATCCTAAGTGTTCAAATATTTGAGAATGAGTACTATTGACAGAGGTCTTGGGAGCCCTGAAATACCATGGCCTGTTTAGGGAGCTACAGGTCTTTGCATTGCTAAACTGTTGGAAGAGGGGGAATGATGGAGGTAGGTGATAGGGAAATCATGAAGGGCCTGGGGTCAAATACTAAGATTTTGGTGCAAGTAACAGAAAGGATTGTAGGTCATCATATTTGGGAAGCTTTTTCTTTTCTTTTTTTTTTGATAGGTAAGTGGGTAAGACCATTGTTTACATATTTGTTCTCTCTCTTTCTCTCTTTGTTTTTGTTTGTTTGTTTGTTTCTGGGATAAGGGGGAGAAAAAAGGAGAAGCCCCACCCAGCCTCCCACCCAGCCCATGGTGTCCGACATGGGGCATGCTCCAAGGGCACTGCTCAAGTGGTTTTGAGAATTCAGCAGTTCTGAGTTGCAGCTAGTCTCACCACTCCAAGCACAATGAAATCTCTCCAGAACCCACTGGCTGGGAAGCTTTGTCAAGTTTCTGTGCCTGCTTCCCTGAGGACTCTCCTGCCCCTCTGATTGTGATCCTTTTCTTCCTCTACTCCCAACATTACTAAATAAGTTCCTAATTTCTGTTTTATCTCTAAAGTTGTTAGTTTTTAAGAAATGTATTTATTCATTTGGAAGGCAGGTTAATGAGAGAGGGAGGGAGAGACAGATCGAGCCAGATCTTCTGTCCTCTGACTCACTCCCCACGTGGATGGAGTTGCTAGAGCTGGGCCTATCGGAACCAGGAGCTTCTTCTAGGTCTCCCACATGGATGCAGGAGCCCAAGCACTTGTGCATCCTTTGGTGCTTTCCCAGGTGTATAAGCAGGAAGCTGAATGGGAAATGGAACAGCCGGTACTCAAACTGGTGCCTGTAAGGGATGCTGGTGCCTCAGGTTACCAGTTATACCACAGTGCCAGCCCTAAAATTATGATAGTTGTTGTAGTACAAGTCTGAACTGATGTGTGAATTAATTTACTAATGAGAAATGTATAATCTGAGAAAGCTCTCCCACCTTTTAAAAAAGTGTGTTACTACTCTTTTACTTTTTTACACTAAAACCTCAGCAACATGATTAGATGTTGGAACTACAGAGAAACCGGCTGTATTACATATTGTAATAGGTGTAGGTACTAGACCAAAAAGACCTAATACAGAAGGTGTGGATAATTCCCTGTGGGGATCTTGGGAAATTATCTGCACAGAGGAGTGATGTCTAAGCAAGGACACCATGTGCAAAAGTGCAGGGGCATGTCAACAGTGAAGTGTGTTGGGAAATGCAGCTTCTTCCATTGACAGGCCTGTGGGAGTGGGAAGGAAAGACCAGGGCATGTTAGGTTGTACATGGCACCTGAAGTGGCTTAAATCCTGCTCCGAAGGAGTAAGTATGTGTTTTAAGCAGGGAATAGTTTAGTCAGGATTGTGCTTGGAGAAGAGCACAATGGCAGCTTACAGTATTAATTCAAAGGGACCAAAACCACAGGCAGGGTCAGTGGGGAAAGTGTAATATACAACGGGGCTGCACAGGGAGCCTGAGCTGAATTAGTGGCCATGTGGGTGGGGAATGGACATGCTGCAATCTTACGAGACTGGATAACTAGATGCCAAGTGTGAGAGAGGAGGCATTTAGAATGATGTGGAAGGATACAGATGGCGTGATAGCTGAATTGGATATTTACGAAAATAGCTCGTAGGACTGGGTAGCAATAAATGAGTTCAGTTTTGGAAATACCAAGTATGGAGTTTTTGTTACTTAATGTATAAACTTAAAGCGTTTATAACTAGGAGTGTATATTGGGAGCTCAGCTGAGAGGAGAACAAGAGAAGAGTTTTGGAAACATACATGATTTATTTTGTGAACCAGTGAAGTAGGTGAGAATACTCAGAATGATCTGATGAGATATTACCATGTTAGGGGAAAAATGGAAGGGGATTTGGGGAGAAAAACTTTCCCTAAATTGAGCACCACTGGATTAGAGGAATGAGATGAATTTTCTACCATGAAGAGAATCATGAATTAAAAACCAAAGCAGGAAAATCACAGGATGGTTGGAGGCTACAAGCCGTGAGACCTTGCAGGAATTATTTCACTTGTCTTTCTTGCTTTTCCCATTATATAATGGAGATGGGAAGAACTACTTCACAGGTTTATTAAAAGGAATGCTCTTCAATTTGCAAAGCTCTTAGAATAGTGACTGACGGTATGTAACTGTTAACTGCAGTTACTGCAACCATTAGTTTTGTCATCAAGAAAGTATGTTTTAGAAAACTGATGATTCAGAAGTACTTGGTAAACAAAGTTTTGGGGTCTGATTAGGATTTCAGTTTGTTCAACAGCAGGTAAGGAAGTTTTCACAGCAAATAGTCTGCTTATAGGGAAACACTTATTTCATTTAGTTTACGCCCACATAAGTTTATTTTATTTGTCATAATTTGGGGTTTTTAATATATATTTTGTTGTAATATTGAAAGCTAAGTAAGTAGAGACAGGCGAATCTAATTTGTCAGTGTATTAGGAGAAACCTTGTAAAATTGGTTAGATCACTCTAGAGCTCATTGTTAAGTTTTCTGAAGAAACCTGGCTTTGCAAAGAAGACAATTAGAAATAGAATGATGAGACCATTGTGATAATTCAATAGTGGTAACATTTCTTTTTCTTAGTATAGGGAAGTCTATCATCAGAACATTCTACTCAGAAGAGCAAAAATTTTTTGACAAAAATGAACTAACCAATGTCCTTTAATCTGTCCAGATTACAATATGTGCTTTTTTTTTTTTTGCATTATCCACAGAAAGAGCTCAAAAAATGGGATGAATTTGAAGATATTTTAGAAGAGAGGAGGCATCTCAGTGACTTCAAATTTGCAATGAAATGCTATACACCTCTTGTCTACAAGGGTATTACCCCTTGCAAGCCAAGTGATATTAAAAATAGTGTTCTCAATTCTGAAGAGATTCATTATGTCATAAAACAGGTAAGTTTGCAGCCATACCAGATTTGTTCATTGTCCGCAAAGTCTTTACTTTGGTATCTTAAGTGTGTTCTTGTAAGTCTAGTTACCTTCAGCACAGTCATCACATAATACTGTATCTGTAATGTGTGCTGTCTCTGCTAAATACGGGAGGTCTAACGATAAGCAACTGGAGTGCAGTACACAGTCAGGAATGATACTTGCACAGTGATAGTACGGTGATTGATGTGCTCATGGAAACCAATGGGAAGGAACGCTGATTTGTTCTGTGGGCAGCTAATTTGGCGTAGGGAGTTAAAAATGATTCATTTAAAAATATTTATTTATTTGAAAGGCAGAGAGAAGGAAACACATACAAATAGATGCAACATAACTTCCACTTCTGATTCACTCCCCAAATGCCCACAACAGCCAGGGCTGTGCTAGCCTAAAGCCAGGGGTCTACAGGAAGACCGTGTACTTATAGGAACGCAAATACTTGGGCCATCATCTGCTGCTTCCCAGGTATGTTAGCAGGATGCTGGATCACAAAGGTTCAATAGCCCGGACACGGACCACGGCACCCTGAAATGGGGCTTGGACATCCCAACCTTCTATCCTGAAGCACCTGCCCTGACTTAGTAATGAAGGTTAGAAGATGACTAGAGATTTCCTATGTGAAGTGGGTGTGCCTGACAGAGCAAATGGCTTATTCCTATGGTTTTCAAATCTCTACATTATAATTTCTCAGGGAGTTTTTTTAAAAAGTTCCCATGCTTTGGTTTTGCCTCCATGCCAACTAAATTCAAATATCAGGAGAGGTTGCAAAATTTGGGAATCACTAGCTTATTTTATACACTGTAGCTAAGAGGGACCATGTAACTCCCTCATAATGAAGGTAGTTCATGACCAGAGCAATGAGCACATAAAGAAGGAAGGTAAGAAATGTTCCTGGAAAGGCAAGCGGTAATCATGTTGCGCAGAGCTTTGTAAACTGCATAGGAATAGGATTTTATCCTGCCTACAATGCCAAGCTATTCAAAGGTTTCAAGGTGGAGTGCTATACATTTTAGAAGCTCTATTCTGCTAAAATTAGAAATAGGAAATCTGCTTGTGATGCCCCTGCAGTCAGTCATCCCTTCATGCCATTGCAATTGCCTAGATTGGCAGGAGTGGTTACAGAAACAGAAATGGGCAGATTTAAGACATTTGATAGATGACAAATAATTTGGTACAGGGCGTCAGGGAAGTGATTTGTTTAATGATCAGTTGGATGAAGGAACGGAAAGAATGTAAAACATAAGGGCAGTAGAGACCAACCTTGAGGCCCTAGTGGATGAAGCTATCACCTGTAGTACCAACATACTGTACAGGCATACCATACAGGCATAGGTTTGAGTCCCTGCTGTTCCACTACTGATCCGGCTCCCTGCTCACATGCCTGGGGAATCAGCAGAATATGACCCAAGTCCTTGAGCCCCTGCACCCACATGGGAGACCCAAAAGAAACTGCTGGCTCCAGGTTTCAGCTTGGCCCAGCCCAGGCTATTACAGCCATTGGGGGCAGTGGACTAGTTAATAGAAAATTTTTCTCTTGCTCCAAGTCTGCTTCTGCCTCTTCCTCTCTCTAATGCAACCTTTCAAATATACAAATCTAAAGAAAAAAAATGGACAATAGAACAATTCAGATAGGAAACTTCAGATAAAGAGCAGGTCTGGCAGGGTACCTGAGTTCAGCTTTGGACACATCGTTTGACTACATCAGAATGAAGATAGTCGATATATTAATCGCCTCTCAGCCTTTTGGCTAAGATCAAGTGAAGACAGTTAATATATTAGAGCTCCCCTGGAAGCTAGCCATCCTTATTATACTGCCCAGTGCTCATTTGGCTGTAGGTTTATAGGTGCTGAACGATGTGTTTGTAGCTGTTGCTGACCTGTTGCTTCATCCTTCCCAGAGTCTCATGTTCACTGCTGTTGGAAGATGGCTTAGAATGACTTGCATCGTTTTTACTAGCAGCAGCATTCTGCTATCTATGATTGGTTATGGTTTTTTATCGTAGTCAGAAGAGAATATATTTATTTTTTAATGAACTTCAAGAAAGAATAATGTGCCTGTGGACACCCTCCACTGTATTTTTGGTTCTCTGTAAATGTCTTTTTTCCCCCCCCTCTGTTTTTAAAAATTAATTTATTCTGAAAGTATTTTCCATCCTCTGGTTCATTCCCCAGTTGGCCACAATAGCTAGTGCTGGGCCAGGCAGAAGCCAGGAACGAGGAGCTTCATCCAGGCCTCCTGTGTAGGTAGCAGGAACTCAAATACTTGGGCCATTGATTTGCTACTGTTCCAGGCCAGTAACAGAGAGCTAGATGGGAAGTAGAGCACCCAGAACTTGAATCAGCACCCACAACAGATGCTGGCTATACCGCAATCCTGGCCTCTGTATATGTATTAAGGAAAAGCACCTGTGTAGTATTTGCATGTTTTTGTAAAGAAAAGAGAATGCTTATTCAGAATTGCAGTTTTTTGCTTGAGGCTGTTTACCAACGATTGTAGCCATTTTAACCCTGCTTCTTTGTTCCTGTAGATTGAGAATCACTCTTTCCTTCATGGGGGGCAGAATCATGATTAAGCTTCTCTTTAATCTCACCTGTTCCCCTGTCCCTAGGAGAGATCTCTTCAGTTTAAACTTTAGCATATTTCCTTAGACTTCAGGCTGTGCTGTGCTTAATACTACAGTTCCTCTGACCTCTTGGAATTTGCTCTTATTTATTTATAATTTTGCAAACCTCCTTAGTCTTTAGTTTAATGGAAAACAGCTGACTTGTTATAGTTGTTTCTGTGTTCAGTCTGTTATATGTTGAGTTGAAATAAAGTAACTTTGCATATGTAGTTAGAAAGGGGAATAGTTATGTGTGTGTTTTCTAGTGTTTGTTTATTTGAAGGTGAAAAGACAGAGAAAGAAATCTTCCATTTGGAGATTCAGTCTCCAGATGGCCCGGCTAAAGCCAGGAATTCTATCCTAGTGTCCCACATGGGTGGCAGGAGGCCAAGTAGTTGGGCCATCTTGTGTTGCCCTCCAGTGCCAGCCATCCACAGGATTAGTTTTAAGTGGTATTTTTTGTTTTTTTTTGTTGTTGTTGTTGTTGTTTGTGTTGTGTGTCTGTCTTTCTTCCTTCCTTCCTTCCTTTTTCTTTCTTCCTTTCTTTTCCTTTTCTTTCTTCCTTTCTTTTCTTTCTCCTCCTCCCTCTCTCCCTTTCTCCCTTCCTTCCTTCCTTCCTTTTTTAAAGATTTATTTATTACAAAGGCTGATAACAAAAAGAAAGCTCTTTCTTCCTCTGGTTCCCTCCCCAAATGACTGCAATAGCCAGATCAGAGCTGAACTGATCCAGGAGCTTCTTTTGGGTCTCCAACATAAGTGCAAGGCCCCAGGCCACAAGCAGGGAACTGGAAGGAAAGTGACATGAACTGGCACCCATCTTGTATCCTGGCAATGGTAGACAGAGGATTGAAGTTTCATTGTAGTAATTATTCTTTTGATAGTTTGGGAAATTTTGTACCAATGATTTATATGTATCATGAACTCTGAATTGCCTTTTTCAGCATAGTCTGTTACTTTCACCTTTGTAAGATTCGCCGACCAGACCACCGGGGAAAGAATACCTCAGCTGAATATGTGAAAAGAATTTTAGATGGCCTTTATCCCAGGAAACCACAGTCATGACTTTCTTCCCCAAGTAGCAGAAAGACAGACATGAAGGAGAGGGCTACAGAGGAAGAAGAGCCAGGAAGAGCAGTGCAAGAGAGTTGTAAACCCATCTTGACATGGAAACTGTTGCTTCTGCCCCTCATTGGTGGAGCGGTCATTTCACTGCCTCAGGAGCCTGCCAGAATTCTGTCCCTCTGGGTTGGGCTTGCAGCAAGGTCTGCTGTCCTCCAGTTTCTGGGGCAGCCATCAACCTTGTACACTCATGTGACCTTGAGATAGCATGGAGCAAGCAGGGAAAGTGCTGCAGCAGTCTACTGAGAGAAATTGTTAAATGTTGGGGTCCTCAGCCTAAGCAACAACTTATTTTAAAGGGATTAAATATACATTAACCAAAATAAACCAAATAGGATGCTGTCATAGGAAGCTGATTCTCTTTGATTTTCTATCCTTTACATTTGTCTGAATAGGATCATTTGTTGTATTGAAAAGCAAGTTGTGTCAAATTAAGATTTTAAAAACATCTGATGTGTTTGAGTTACATCACATTGGTCCACTTGAAACTATTGTTGATTCGTTTGAATGAAAAAGAGTCCTGGTTTCCTTTTTTTTTTCTTTTTTTTTTTTCTTTCCTTAAAGAAATTTATCCCTGCTACCCTTTCCTAACAGCTTTCCATGGAATCACTTCAATCTGTCGATGCCCTCCGGGAAGAAGTTTGTGAAATCTTGGATGAGATGAGCCACAAACTGCGTCTGGGGGCTATACGGTTTTTTGCCTTTGCTTTGAGCAAAATATTTAAACAGATTTTCTCAAAAGTGTGTGTAAATGAAGAAGGTATTCAGAAAGTAAGTATTGATTATTTAAAAGCAATCTCTGTGAAATAAGCCAGTCCCAGGAAGACAAATATCTCATGTTCTACATCTTGTGGGAACTAAAATTTAAAAATCAAACAAAAAAAAAAATAGTATATGCATGTATCAGTTGTTACTGTAAACATAGCGTCATAAAACCTTGTCATATGCCTTTGTCAAACCAATGGTTTAAGAATGTTTTTCTGCTATGGTTTTAATGATCTGTGAGTACTTTGAAATGTTCTGTCTGTGGGTGAGATGGTCACTTTTCATAAAATAAAGAAAAAAAACAAAAATCTCTTCTTGAACCCCTTGTGATTTAGTCAACTGTCGTGGCCAGTAAATACCTACGGCCTAGCCCTCACATGTTCCCTTTGAGCAGATGTGCTTTCTCCTAGGGTTTGTTTTCTTCCCCCTTAACTTCAGACTTCATCCTATCTTAAATTTATAGCCCAACTTATGTCAGATGTTCAAAAAGTTGCAAAAGTAAAAAAAAACAAATTCACTTAGATTTTCGCTAAAATAATTTTTTGTCCTTTTCTCAGTACCCTAGTGTATTTTTCGCATAAACAAGGACATTTCTTTCATGTTGCAATGATCAAAATAAACAAATAATAATAATACTACAAACCTCTCTCATGCTTTGGCAGTTGACCTAGTTGTTGTATCCCATATAGAGGAGAAATTCCTAGATTATGTCTTTTTTTTTTTAATTTATTTTAGTTTTCCCTGATTTTGATATATGTTATGCTGTATTCCATTCATAATGTGGGTCTGATGTGATGCCATGTTTTGTTCTCTGTGCATCATCAGGAAGACATGATATCTGTCCTATTACTGGAGATGCTCACATTCATCATTAACTTAATTATAAAATTTGCATTTTTAAATCCTTGGATTATGGGAATTTGTTTAACCAGAACCCTGAAGTAAATTTTAGCTTCTCAGCAAATTAAACTCCTATGTATGATAGGAACATGATGGTGATGATTAGCATTCTCTCTGCAAAGTTATTCTGTTTCTTAAATGTGATGTTAATAATACAGGTGAAATTATTTAAAGTCTAAAATTTATTTTCAAGCTGCAACGAGCCATCCAGGAGCATCCTGTCGTTTTGCTGCCTAGTCACCGAAGTTACATTGACTTTCTCATGTTGTCATTTCTTTTATACAACTACGATTTGCCTGTCCCAGTTATAGCCGCAGGAATGGGTATGTAGTTTTTCTGCTTCTAACTCTAAAAGACAAAACAGAATGATGCCCTGGGTACTGAAGTTGTGAAGATGATGATGATAAAAATAGGCTATTCTTCCTTCCAATCCCAGTGTGTAGCAGTTGGGATTATGTCCTGTATGTGATTTTATTCTGTACACATAAGAAAGTATATATGCACCAGGATTCTTTGGTTTAGCCTTAATTAAGATACCTACTTTTTTATTTGGTATTACATTGATAGCCAATAAATTGATGTAACTATAAAAAAAAATTGCTAAGATGGCACTTGGAAAAACACATGTAATGAAAGTTTGCCATCTTATCCATCTATATGTATATAATTCATTGGCTTAAAATATCATCACATTAATAGGCTATTATTACTATGATTCATCCTTAACACTGTTTTCATAGCAACTCTGAAACATTAAACTGTCACTTCCTGTTCTACCTTCCCCCTGGGCTCCAGACCACCATTCAGCTTTCTATCTCTGTGAATTTGACTATTATAGATACTCCATATGTGTGAACTCACATAGTGTTTGTCTTTTTATGACAGGTATATTTGACTTAGCATAATGCTGTTGAATTCATCCATTATGTAGCATGTGTCAGACCCTCTCTTTTTAAAAGTTGAATAAGTTGCAGTATTGATTATCACCATGTTTATCTTTTCATTCATCAGTGGGTTGGCAGTTTGGGTTGACGATCAGATAACACGGCCTTTTGAACATGAAAGTACACATATCTATTTAAGATCCTACTTTTCAGGTCCAGTGTGATAGCCTAGTGGCTAAAGTCCTCGCTTTGCATATGCCTGCATTCCATATGGGTGCTGGTTTGTATCCTGGCTGCTTCACTTCCGATTCAGCTTTCTGCTTGTGGCCTGGGAAAGCAGTTGAGGATGGCCCAAACCTTTGGGACCCTGTAGTCGCATGAGAGACCCAGAAGAAGCTCCAGGCTCCTGGCTTTGGATCAGCTCAGCTCTGGCTGTTGTTGCCACTTGGGGAGTAACCAGCAGATGGAAGATCCTACTTTTCGCTTTTAAGATACCAAGGAAGAGTTTTGTTTTGTTAATTGGAAAATCAGATTTTCAGAGGGAAGGAGAGATAGAGAAAAAGATCTTTCGTCCGCTGATTCACTCCCCAAGTGGCCAGAATGCCAGGAGCTGAGCCAATCCGGAGCCAGGAGCCAGGAGCTTCTTCCAGATCTCCCACACGCGGGTGCAGGGTCCCAAGACTTTGGACTGTCCTTGACTGCTTTGCCAGGCCACAAGCATGGAGCTGGATGGGAAGTGAATCAGCCATAATACAAACCAACGCCCAAATGGGATTCTGGCACACATAAGGCAAGAACTTTAGCTACTAGACTACCGTGCTAGGCCCTGGAATATATATTTTTTTTAAGATTTATTTTATTTGTATTGGAAAGGCAGATTTTACAGAGTTGGAGGGACAGAGAGAAAGATCTTTCTCAGAGAGAAGGCTGATTCACTCCCCAAATGTCTGCAGCGACTCTTGCTGAGATGATCTGAAGCCAGGAGCTTCTTTTGGGTATGATGCTGGTGTACAGTCTCAGGACCTTGGGCCATTCTCTGCTGCTTTCCCAGTCTGTTAGCCGGGAGCTGGATGGGAAATGGAGCAGCTAGGACACGAACCAGCACTCATATGGGATCTCCACATTTGCAAGCAGAGGATTAGCCAGTTGAGTCATTGAGCTAACCCCACCAAGGAGTGTTAGAATTGCTGCATCTTATGATTTTATTCTTAATTTTTTGAGAAACTACCAGGATATGACCCAGTGCTATAGGGGATGCAGTCATGTGCAAAGCAAGGACTTTAGCCACTAGGCTACTGTATCACAGTCCATACCTTTTTTTTTTTAAGATGTATTTATTTATTTACTCGAAAGTCAGAATTACAGCTCAGTCAGAGCTGAGCTGATTAGAAGCTGGGAGCCAGGAACTTCTACCTGGTCTCCCTCATGGGTGCAGGGACCCAATGTTTGGGCAATCCTCCATTGTTTTCCAAGGCCATAAGCAGGAAGCTGGATTATAAGAGGAGCAGCTAGGACAGGGACTAGTGCCTGTCCTTTCAGGCTGAGGATTAGCCTGATAGGCTACTGTACCAGCTGCACTACCATTCCGACCCACGTTTGTATATTTTCTTTACAGAAATATCTTTTTAAGTTCATTGCCCATTTTTTATTTGGGTATTTGTTTTCTTATTACTGTTGAGTAGTAGCAGTTCTTCATATACTCATATTCTGGATATTTAAATATATCTCATTCTGTCAATGCTTTTCACTCTGTTTGTTGTGTCCTTTGATGCAGAGAAGATCTTAACTATGAAGCAAAGCTTGATTTATTTTGTTTAGTTTTGTTAGCTTTGCTTTTGATGTAATTGCTGAGTTCTGCCATAAAAGTGAAATAAGGCAAAGAAAGAAATGACATGTTTTTACTCATTTGTGGAGCGTTACCTATGAAACTGCTGAAAAATGTTTCACTTTTGAACTTTTTGTAATATAGATAGCTGAAAATATTGTCTTTCCTGCATTATGCCATTTATTATTTTCGTGAAACCCATGATGTTGAATATCTTGTCTCTATTTTCATAGCAACATATGAAATGAATATGACAAATGTGAAAAACTATTGTCTTATGAATTAATGAAATTCAATTTAAATAAAATTCTTGCCAAATCCTGTGTAATGAAGTTTTTCCCTTTTCTTTCTTCTCAGCATTTTGTAATTTTGTCTTATATTTAGAACTGTATAATATTCATCAGTGTGAATATATCATAACTTAGCTTTATTATTACAAACAGTGTTGTAATATATTAGTACTATTATTTCTGTAGGATAAATTGCTAACAGTAGGACTGCTGAGATAATGTTACTTAACAACTCCTTTGCAAGGTAGCCAGAAAAATTAGGTTTTGAATGTACAGCTTTGTTAATAAGGCAACAAATACTTTCATTTGAAAATATGAGAAAAGTCATTTGAAAATCAGGAAAAATGAAGAGAAGGGCTATATTTAAACTGCAGATGAGAGCTCTCTGCAGAGAAGGGCTGTGTATAAACTGCAGATGAAAGCTCTTCCTCTCCTTTCAGACTTGCTTTATTTGTTCCACCAGAAGTAGGTTATTATTTTTACCTAATAGGCAGAAGGTGAGAACTGGCTCAGCCTGCTCCTTGGAAGCATGAAGGACATGTGTTGGCATCCAGGTCAGTAGCAGGGCCAAGACCTTGGCAGTGTTATGTAAATTGTCACGAGGCCTTGCTGTTATCCCTGGTCTGTAACCAGCCTGGCTGTAAAGGCAGTGGTGGCACAGGGTGTCCCAGTGAGCACCTGGCTCACAGAGTCCTTTCTGCCCCATCATTCTGCTAAACAGGTGTGATTTTATTCTTAGAAAATAGAAGTATTAATATAGGGATATCTCACAAGCATGAAAGCTCAGTGTTTGAATTTAGGTCTTTATAGAAAGTTTCAAGATCTGCCAATAAATATCAATCACTCCTTTATCTTCTAGACTTCCTGGGAATGAAAATGATTGGTGAGCTGTTGAGGATGTCAGGGGCCTTCTTCATGCGACGCACCTTTGGTGGCAATAAACTCTACTGGGCTGTATTCTCTGAATATGTAAAAACTATGTTACGGGTAAATGCAAATAACTACCAAGTAAATATTTTCTCTTCACTGATATTTGCTTGTTTAAGTTCTTAACTTCTGAATAGGCCAATTAGCTGTTTTTCCCCCTCAAGGATGTATGAAACCTCAGCCGTCTGTTTAATCTGTGTGACTCTCTTATTTCACTGTAAGCAAATGTTTGTTCAGTGGGATTGGGAGGGAGATGGGGAAGGAAATCAAAAGAATTTATCATTTTGAGAGTAGGCAATGGGTTTTTGTGTTTGTGTTTTTTGTTTGTGTTTTCTCTTTAAAGAATGGTTATGCTCCTGTTGAATTTTTCCTCGAAGGGACAAGAAGCCGCTCTGCCAAAACATTGACCCCTAAATTTGGTAAGTCACTTGCACTTCAGAAGGAGAGTTACAACCTCAGTGGCTTTCGCTGTGGTATCATGATGCCACTAGATAGAACTTGACATTTGTTTAGGTATTTACATAAAATGCTCTTTTCTTTATAAGTATATTCAACCTTTTATATTCATGGCTTATTGCATAATACACAGTCCAGTACATATAGTGTTTGTGTATCCTTGTATGCTGTTCTCCTTAATAGTTGTGATAAAACATTTCTCTCTGTGCTTACAGGTCTTCTGAGTATTGTGATGGAACCATTTTTCAAAAGAGAAGTTTTTGATACATACCTTGTTCCAATTAGCATCAGCTATGATAAGATTTTAGAAGAAACTCTTTATGCATATGAGCTCCTAGGGATTCCTAAACCGAAAGAATCTACTGCTGTATGTGAAGGATCACCAAACTTGATTTTATTTGCATTTAGAGAATGTGCAAAGTTACATACTGGCAAACTTCTGAAATTACTCTTTTTTGTGTTTTTCTTACGTTGCCATACTAGGGGTTGTTGAAAGCCAGAAGGATTCTGTCTGAAAATTTTGGAAGCGTCTATGTATACTTTGGAGACCCTGTATCACTTCGATCTCTGGCCTCTGGGCGGATGGGTAGGAGTCCGTATAACTTGGTTCCCAGGTACAGGGCCATTTTTTAATATCTGACCTAGCAGTAAGGGTTAAAATCTAAATGTGTGAATTATTTTTCAGTTGGCCACTTCTAAAACTGAAACTTGATTTACCTTAGACCACATAGCAAATTATCGGGGAAACATTATCATTCTATTTACATCCCTGGAAAGCTTCAATGAAGGACAGAAAAAGTGGCTGGCTGTGGGATATGTATGTCAAATGGAAAAAATGAGATGATGATTGTTAAAAGGAGGGAAGACACATACCGTTATAACAAGTAGATGTATGGGTATTGTGGAATCATGATAGGTCAGCTAAAATATGTATTAAGTATTGTTTTTGATCTTAGAAAAGACTGCATAAAAATTAATGTAAGTTTCTGTTCTCGAAAGGTTAGTATTTTATTGGCAAGATAATGTATTATTTCAGGATGCAGGATACAGATACCCATTTGGATTTTCTTAATTTGGAGTACTAGAGAAGTGGGCAACATTAAACCATGTACCCAGCCAGGCGTCACATGGGTACAGCACTAGTGAGTGTTTGTCTACCCAGAAACGTGTGTTAGCTTTTTGCTGCCTTGGGCTTTTTTTTTTCCCCCTGTAGGTCCCAAATTGAGTTGGCTGGTTGTTACTTAGTGTAGACCATTCTTGCTGGCTACAGCTTTCACATTAAGCCACCTGATTACATAGCTGCTGCTAGGACACATGTATCCCTGCTGCGACTAGCCCTATGTAGCCTTGTTGCATATTTCAAAGTTTAGTGAACAATGCCAGTAGCAGTCAGAAACGGACCAGGGTAGTACTTGACACGTGCTCTGCTGCTTCTCAGAATGGGGCAGCGCAATAGTTGGGCCAACTGAACCCTGTGCATAACACATGTGAGATGGGACTGTAAAGTTTGGTAAGTGTAGTCTAGTAGAGATATGTCCAGCATGTTGGATGCTAGGAAGACAGCAATTTATTCAACTGGGGAGACATCAGTTTTCACAAAAATGATAGTTTCTATTATAAACCAACTTTTTCTTCATTGTTGTTTTATTTTATCTAGAACTGGGGATTAATAAGATCCTATTCCCTTGAATAGGTTATGTTGTTCCTCAACCACACACCCTAGAGACTTATGGACAGTGCTTACAGGTGACCTGAGGGAATTTAGTTGGAAGAAAGTACCTGACATCTAAAGACTGGTCTTGTTCTATTGCACTTTGCATTTCCAGTTGTCTGAGAAGCAGATCTGCAATTTGTTGTTCTATATTCTTCCTTTTAGGTATATTCCTCAGAAGCAGTCTGAGGACACGCATGCCTTTGTCACTGAAGTTGCCTACAAAATGCAGCTTGTACAAATTGAAAATCTAGTTCTGAGCCCATGGTCCCTAATAGTAGCTATTCTACTTCAGAACCGGCCGTCCATGGACTTTGACGCTCTGTTAGAAAAGACTTTATGGCTAAAAGGCTTAACCCAGACATTCGGAGGATTTCTCATTTGGCCTGGTATGTTGCAGGATATATGTGATAAGAATGCTCAATTTTTAAAAAAAAATCTGATTTAGAAAAGTTGTAACCTACATACAAGAAACCTGTATGGGACTTTAAGAAAGCATTGTTCAGAGAAAGCAAAAGCAATTTGTTTTCATTACTGAAGTGGTATATTGAACACATGATGCTGTAGGAGAGTGATTTCACACATGACGTAATCACTTGAGACTCTAAGTAGCTGGAGTACTAGAATGCCCCCTGCTTGGTGTCTCACAGCATGGAGCATGAAGACATAGATCCTTTGGCATTCCTGCAGCTCCTTCCCTCCCTGTTCACCTCTTTTTAGACCACACTTATTGACTATCTGTTTGCATCACTGGATTATAAATACACACTAATATACTTGTCTTATGGAACTTTATGTAATTGTTGGATATCAACTTAATCAAAACTTCATTGGAGTTAACAAATACTGTACTTGAATTTGGGGCATATATGACAACAGTGGGCTAAAGTTGTTTTTATTTGATTTAAAATTGTACAGATTACAATGTAACTCTTTCGAAACAAGATACTTATCTCTAGTCAGATACTCTTCAAACTTAGGAGTGACAAGTAGTGCTGGGTACCTCTCATGATTCAAGGATAAACAAGGTGAGAATCCTGTCTTGAAGGTTCTCCTGATTGATAGAAGAATCGAAGGCAGTGGTAGAGGACACGTGTAAACCAGAGAGAGGAGTTCAGTGAGATAGAAACAGGGGGCCAAAGACACACTGCAGAGGGTTCCTAAGGTTGCTAAGAAAGGACACATACTAATAGTTTATTAAAGTGGTGACTTTTGAACCAGTCTTGATGGAGAGGTAGAAGATTGTCAGGACAGTGAGGGAGCTTTACCTTGCTCACTTAGGGATTAAGAAATGGGAGTTGACAGAATTCATAGCCTCTTTGATGGAATGTAGGCTGTGGATAAGGCATGCAGGATAAGAATGTGGGGAGTGGCTGGACTGTGTAGGCCTGCAGATCCTGGGAATCTGAAACCTGCAGGTTGTAAAAAGTGTGACACACTGACTTCTACAGAGTAACCCATTATCAGTTTTAAAGAGGGAACCCAGTGGAGAGAGACTGGAGACACTGAGGTAAGAGGACACTGTATGAGGATGAGAAGTGAGGATGCCTTTGTCACTGCAGTGGCTGAGCTTGGGACTCAGTACAGAGATGTTTAGAAGGAACTGCTACACAAGTGCCAAGGAGTCAAAGGTTGATCACCAGCAGGGAAAAGAAAGAGGAGTCCGACATCTCTCCTCAATATCGTGCTGATCTGAATGAAGGCAGAAGACATATCAGTTCCATTTAAGGTGGCAAGTGGCAGATGTTATGAGAGAAGATAAAATGTGAAATTCATAACTGGTCTAGAAACATTGAATTCTAGGTGCTTTCACATTTTTCAAGATGGGACAAATACATGACTGTATAAAAGTGTAGCAACTCCAACTACTGTCAAGTGAGAGTTAGCTGGTATATCAGTAATAATGATGGAGCAGGTGACTAAATGTAATTCCCAACTTATAACATGTTACATATATCCAGTTTCATTTTTCTTTTTTACTCAGATTATCCCACATTTCTAAGTTTTCATTCTAGAGCTTTTTATGGTATTTTTATATAGAGCAGCATTAACTTGAACAAGGCAAATTAGATAGGAGTGAGTGCTAGAGTCCAGGAACCCATATGGGTTCTGATTTGTGTCCCGGCTGCTCCACTTCCCATCCAGCTCCCTGATTTTGATGCAAGAAAGCAGGGACCCAGCACCTGTGTGGGAGACCTGAGAGAATCTTCTGGCTCCTGGCTTCAGATTAGCTCAGCTCCAGCTGTTGTGACCACTTGGGAAGTGGATGGAAGATCTTTCTCTCTGTTCTCTCTGTAAATCTGCCTTTCCAATAAAAATAAAGAAATCTCTTTTTAAGAAACTATATAAATATTATTCATATGTATATATGTATTTATACAATAAATGTGACCAATATATATTTATAGTATAAATATATATTAATATATACTGTATACTTTTATATATATAAATATAATCTTTGACGAATGGTATTGTGACTTGATTTGGTAGACTGAGACCAGTACGTGGCGTTTAAAAATACATGACTTTTAGGTCACTAGCATTAGTGTATTAGCCCTCAGATTCCCCACTGCGACTCGCCTCATTTGAATGAATTGTCTTTGTGTGTAGATAATCAGCCGGCTGAAGAAGTTGTCCAGTCGCACATCCTTTTGCATTCCAACATTGCCAGCCTTGTCAAAGACCAGGTGGTTCTCAGATTGGGGTCTGGAGACTCAGAAGTGGTTGATGGACTTATTTTCCAACACATCTCTCTGCTCATGTGCTCATCTTACCGGAACCAGCTGCTCAACGTTTTTGTCCGTCCAGCCTTAGTCGCCACAGCACTGCAGATGTCACCTGGTTTCAGGAAAGGTAACTCAGGATTGTAATTTTTAACTTCAGAGGAGACCTGGCATTTCAGTTCCATGTGTGGAGCAATGTTTGAAGCTCGCGGTGTTCAGCCACACCTGTGCAACCGAAACGACAGCAAGGAATGGGGTCTTTACATTCAGAAGTTAGGTTTGTTCCCTAAATGCATGGCTTCCTGCTTTGAATTACAGAAATGGAAGGATCCTGACATCTTGTAATCAAAGGTTTAGAAAGTTAAGTAATTATTCAGAAAGCACCTGGTATTTGCATACAGTCTGTTAGTTCCTGCTCTGATGCTTTATATCTGCAGTAACCTTTCTCACATTCAGCAGATACAGACAGTGGGGAACAGTTGTGCCATACAGAGTGGGTACTAGGTGTGGTGTGGTAGCAGTGTAGGTGCAGTGCACAGTTCCTGTTCACAGGAGCCCGCAGGCAATGCCAGGGGTTGCAAACCAAGCTACACATTAGTTACTAGAAGGTAAGCCTTGGGCCTGGCACCATGGCCTAGCAGCTAAAGTCTTCACACGCACTAGGATCTCATATGGGCGCCAGTTCTAATCCCGGCAGCTCCATTTCCCATCCAGTTCCCTGCTTGTGGCCTGGGAAAGCAGTCAAGGATGCCCCAGGGCCTTGGGATCCTGCACCTGTGTGGGAGACCTGGAAGAGGCTGCTGTTTCCTGGCTTTGGATCGACACAGCTCTGGCTGTTGTAGCCTCTTGGGGAGTGAATCATCAGATGGAACATCTTCCTGTCTCTCCTCCTCTTTGTATATTTGACTATCCAGTAAAAATAAAATAAATCTTTTAAAAAGAAAAAAAAAAGGTAAGCCTCATCTCAGTGTTGTAATTTGGTTGGTTTTGGAGTTGGCCAGCACTAGGTTTGATTTTCTTCAAAATTTCAGATGATTCTAAGGAAAAATACTAAAGATATGGTGAACATATAGAGTGCCTAACAGATAAAATCCAAATTGACTTTATCTTCCTTTTAGGGGAATGAATTCTTATCCCTGTTTGTGACTAAAAATATGTTTTTGAAATACTGCATTTCAGAAAACCATGGTTTTGTTGGTTCCCCCTGAAAGTTTGCAAAGCAATGTTATAACTTTGTTGTGATTTTGTTTGCAGAAGATGTCTACAGTTGCTTTAACTTCCTACGTGATGTTTTATCAGATGAGTTCATCTTCTTTCCAGGAAATACAGTAAAGGTAAAGTCCTTGAAACCGTGAGCACATGTACTGCAGTGTGAGTTCCAGGCCCATTAGACATGGATTTGCATATGTGTCCTGGACAGTGTGTTATCCTTTTCTTTAAGGAAAAATGGGACCGACTTAAAGAGAAACTTGGGTGTTGGGGTCAACTGACTCTAGTTATGTTCAGCCAAGTTTAAAAACTTGGGAATATTTGGTGACAGAGGGTTACTTTTTGAAACGTGACTGCAGCCACTGAAAATAAATCAACTCTTTTAGGAAGCATTTAAAAATCACACATTTTCATGTTAACATCTTTTGAAGATTTGTTGACCAGCAAGATGTATTATTATTATTGTTATTGTTGTTATTATTATTTTGCATTGTGGTCTTCCCTGGTATTGTAGAGCAGCTGAGGAACAGTCGGACTCTTGCGATGACCTGTGGTTGGTTTCTTGCTGGGGAGTGACAAAATACACACAGGCTGGTCTAGGTTTTGTAGCTTGCATTGTAGAGAACAGGCTTCCTTCTATAGGGGGTTGGGATGGGGATAGCAGAGTTTTTGGAGCATTAATGCACTTCTAAGTATTTTTAGGATCTGTATTATGTACTTTTTATTTATGTTTATGGAATGTAATTGCAAAGTAAAGAAAATTTGTCATTAAAGCATGATTTCTCAGGCTTAAAATTCTTCTTGTATTTGTTATGTTGAAGTTCAACATTTTGAATGTTAGAACAAATGTTATTCTGGCTATTGGGGGTGACTGTGGAACTAACGGTGCTCTTACCTGAGGACATGTGACTTGTATGTTTCGAGATTGGCAGCATACTCAGGAACCTGAAATAGCGGAAGCCTTATGGCACTCCTTTCACCTTTCAGGACTTCGAAGAAGGTTGTTACCTGCTTTGTAAAAGCGAGACCATTCAAATGACTGCACGGGACATTTTAGTTACTGAAAAAGGAAATGCTGTGTTAGAATTTTTAGCAGGACTCTTCAGACCTTTTGTGGAAAGTTATCAGGTATATAAATGTGAAAGTTCTCCCGTAGGCCCCTCGTCTCAAAGGTAAGGCTTTCCCACCATGTGCTCATTTCTGGTGTGAAAGCTAAGTATCTTCCCGAAGTGGTAGAACTAGGGAGACAGGTTCATATAGCTGATGACTTCTCTGAAGTAACTTTGCTCCTTGAAATCAGGAGGAGATTTAGTCCACCCCAGAGGGCAGCAACTGAGTGGCATCTTAAGGACAGTTTCCATGTGACCACAGTTATATCCAAGCATTGTTAGTTATATTTTGTCTTTTTCATGCAAGATGTTTGATACATAGTACACATTCAGTGAATGCAAACCTTGTATAATAACATAAAGTCAGTTGTTTACTGAATGCTAATGTTGGAAGGAAAGTTAAAGTACAAGTATTTGAAAGTTTTTTAGAGCTCTTAAGAATAGTTAGAGGGAACAGTCTCAGCAGGATTCAAGCAGAATTCAACGGGAGAGAGGAAATTTGAAATGCAAACCACAGGGGTAGAAGGGAAGAGAATCTGTGGCTCTGTATGTGCACTAGTGGCAGGTGCTAGACTGGCTTCCTGGCAGAGCAGTCAATGTGATTAATGAAATAACCCTTGGCAGCCCCTTCGCGTAGCCTAGCACTTGCTCAGTTCCAATTCCAGCTTTAGGCACCTTTCTGTAACATAAATCATCAACTTTTTATGACCTATCTCTGTGTTAGGTGTATTAGAGAAAAGCACAAAGCTATAAAAACTGTCCCCCTCTTCCCAAATAGCGTAAGCTATAGAAATTGATACTACTTAACTTGCAAGCTATCACCTGAAGTTTTTTAAGGTGTTAGTATTCTTCCAAGTTCTTTTTTTCTCATTGTAAAAAGTAATTGAAGTTCGAAAGACATGCTCTACAAATTCCCCTGTGTGTGTACGTATGTGAGTGTGAGAGAGAGGAAGAGAGTTGGGAGGAGGGGGCAGTCTTTGCTCTATGTCTTTCTCTTAAGAGGGATAATGTACAATGATTTGTTTTCCTGTTGTATTTGCTGTCCTTTTTCTGTTTCTGTTCCCTCTCATCCTCCATCTTAAAATTAGATAATTTGCCTGTACCTCTTACGAGAAGAAGAAGACCACTTCACCGAGAAACAGTACTTGGCTGCTGTTAGAAAATTCACAAGTCAGCTTCTCAATCAAGGTCAGTCACTTCTTTGAGTGGGATTTTTCTTATTTGAGAACAAAGATGTAGTCCCCTAAACCCCTCCTCACTGTCTGTTTTAGGTGCCTCTCAGTGTTACGATGTATTATCTTCTGATGTACAAAAAAATGCCTTAGCAGCTTTTGTGAGGCTTGGTGTCATAGAGAAGAAGAAAGTGTGAGTACTGCATGAGATCCCCGGGAACTAAAAGGGCAAAGACAGCAAGTGATGCTTGAGTACAAACCCCAGGGAGATGTAGAAGTGTATCACGTAGTGAATGTTCCATTCTGCTTATTAGGTTGGTTTGTTACCCTGAAATTTTTATGTGGTTGTGAATAAAAATGCAGTGAAGAAGTGCTTAAGGCCAATAATTTGGCTTTGACTTAATACTCAAATTTACAGATTAATTATAAGATTTTTTTTTAAGATTGTTGCATGTGGTTGGATAGATCGATTTTCTAAGTGAACGAATGTAACAGTGATAAAGCTGAGTATGTTTATTTATAGTCATATCTTTTATGTGGTGAGAAGGTTGAAGCACAGAGCCAAGGCTAGAACAGGAGCAAGAGGCCTTTAACCACTTCAGACCGTCTTGAGGAAGACTACTGAGAAGCAGTCCTACTGTTTGTGTATATAGTCGGGAACAATGTGTAATGATGGTAGTTGTCTTCTTCCTCATTTGTGCAATAGCAACGTTTGATTCTTTTCTTCTAGAAATAATGATTACATATTTAGTGTGAATGAACCTGCCACAACAAAATTAGAAGAAATGCTTGGTAAGTCCAGCCTAATAAAATGAGTTTTCACATTGTATTTACCAATCTATTGTAGAAAAATAAGATGTTTTGTGACACCAAATAGCTCACCAGAATGAAGAATAATTGAGTTCAAATATAAATAGGGAGCTATTCACATGGCCTAGAATTTTCTCAAGGCATCTAAAGAAAAAGGGCCAAGAAGATGAGCAGAAAAACAGTCATGGACCATCTAATACAACATCGTCAGTTCCTAACTTGTCTAACCTGAGTGAAAGATACACACACTTCTAGTTTTGAAGAGAATAACTCTCATTTTCATCCTTTGATTTGTGCCTTTCCTCTCCGTTCTTGGATCCTTCTTTTCCAAGTGAAGGATTAGTGTCCGTGTATGCATTTTTCTAACTTTTTTGAATTTAGACTTTCTTCCTAAACATAAAGACCGATGGCATATTCATGAGTGACTGATCTAATCCTTATTCTGCTCTAGATCCTTTCAGCTGATAAAGAGATAGTGCAGCTGAGAAAAAGCAAGGCCATTTGTTTACAAGGCCAGTAAGGTTGGTGTAAACAGAAAGATAAATGATTGGAAGAAGTGCAGAATATATCTTACAGGAATGATGGGGTAACAATAGAAGGTGAAGGTATTAACATTTGAAAAAAAGTATAATTCAAGATATTTGTCTGCATGGGTGAGCTTTAAATATTTCTGTTGGTGTCAGGAGAAAACCAGGACAGGGCATACAGATAGAAATGAATGGCTGAAGAAACAGTATAGAAGGGTAATAGAATAATTGATACCATGGGGAAGATGGAAGGACTAGACCTTATGGAAGGAAATAGGTTGATCAAAATTCTAGCCTTCTATTTACAGATGTCTGAAGTCTCTAGAGTATGTGAATGTGAAATTCAAAATTGCAAAGAAATACAAAAATATTCTGTGAGGATGCAGAATCAAGGTATTAGTCACAGGAGGTTGATGTAACTTGAGTGTGAACATTTCACGATATACTAAAAGTTCAGACAACATGACAGGGCTGAGTCCTGAATCTGGCTCTGTCCTGAACCTGCAGTGCTTCCTGCACCGACACCACTTGGAGCATCTACCACTTCTCCTGCGGAGCAGGCTGGTGTCCTGTCAGGCTGTGCACAGTGTCAGATGTCTGGGACAGAAGCATCAGAAACATTCGTATGAAAAAGGGCACAATCGATGTCATTTTATGAACTGTCTCTCTCTTTTTTTTTTTTTTAAATCTTAGGATGTAAAATACCAATAAGAAAAACAGCCACTGCAAAACTTTAATAATCGCCAATTATGGAAAATTTGGTCACATAATTATAGTCATCAAAGGACTATTACTACAGCAATAGGGAAGTAAAGGAAGAGATTGTCTTCTCATCCTTCGTAAGACTTCAAGAACATAGATTCCAGAGAGCGGAAGAAATGATCAGTGTGAGCAATCAACGTAATCTTCCCACATGGTTAAAAGGCATTTGTATCCAACAGTGTGTGTTTTAAAATAAAGCAATCTTTTAAAAACATACTTGGGAAAGCAAAACTCAGCTCTGATTTCACTAATACTTTTCAACTTACTACATGTGCTAAAGTTTTATGTTGACTTCTGAATTAAAACTAAGCTCTGGGCATTAAAGGAAAAGAAAACTGCTGGGGTCATCTTGGTGGCTCAGTTGGCCAGTACTTTTCCTGAAAGTTCCAATGCTGGTTCATGTCCCGGCTGCTCCACTTCCATCCAGCCCCCTGCTTCTGGCCTGGGAAAGCAGCCGAGGACTGCACCTGCGTGGGAGACCCGGAAGAGGTTCCTGGGTCCTAGCTTCAGATCAGCTCAGCTCTGACCATTGCAGCCATTTGGGGAGTGAACCACTGGGTGGAAGATCATTCTGTCTCTCATTCTCTGTAAATCTGCCTTTTCAATAAAAATAAAATCATACAATAAGAAAGAAAACTGCTGGGGCCAGTGCTGTGATACCGCACATTAAGCCACTGTGTGCATAGCTGGCGTTCCATGTTGAAGTGCCAGTTGGAGTCCCAGCTGCTCTTCTTCTGATCTGCCTTCCCTCAGGTACTCCTGGGAAGTCAGTGAAAATGCTTCAAGTATTTGGGCACTTGTCATCCACATGGGAGACCAGGATGGAGTTCTTAGCTCCTGGCTGTCACCCTGCCCAGGCCTTCATCGTTTGCCATTCGGGGAGTGAACCAGTGGATGAAGATCTTTCTTTTCCCCTCTTGCTGTCATTCCCTTTCTCTGTCACTTTGCCCTTCAAGTAAATGAATCTGAAGAATCCAATAAAAGGAAATTGCTGAAAAGAGTTAAACATCCCTAATGTGAAAGTGAAATACTTCAAAACCCCAAACTTTTGAGAACCAACATGATGCCCCAAATGTAAAATTCCACAAAGCCTCACCTGTTTCCAGTGGAAATGCATGTGCCCAAGCATTTGGGTGAAGCGCATTCACCCGCATCTTATATTCCTTATCGCTTGCTTTCTTTAAAGTTACCTAATCTTTGTTTGACAAAGATAAGTTGTCTAGCTTACTAGATATGATATGACCCATCACAAACATGCTTGCAGATTTAGAGGAAGGGTGAACACAGGAAACTTGGGCAGTTTGCTGCCTCTGAAAGTGACATTTGAACTGAAAGTTGGATTGATCAGGGTTGTCATTGGAGTGACAGCTAGAGGAACAGTATGGTAATGTTGTATCATGGTCAGAATATTCTGGGGTAGGTTCTGGAGGATCTCAAAGTTCAACTGGCTGGAGCAAGAGTTGCAGATAGTGAAACTGATGGGAAGCTTGGAATGCCATGCAGAATGACACCAGCTAGACAGCTTGGACACTGATGTCTGTCACTATCCTGGAGGCTGGAAGAGAGATCAGATGTCTACAAGATTCAGTTCATTCACTTGAAAGGGCATGAAACCTGATCACTTCCAAGGGTCCTGTCTCCAAAGATACCAGAAGGTATCAACATACACTGGATTAGAGACTGAAACATCTGCATAGGAATCAGTAGTGCCATAGGAATTCATTGAAACATTTCCTACAGTTTTTGGTTTGTAGCTGTCTGTGCTCAAATTTTCTGGAATGTGTATGTGTTTCCCTGAGGTCAGGCTGTTTCTGTTGTATATTCAGGCTGAAGAGTCATTGCTCTGCATCATGCATTGGTGACAGGGGCGCCCTCTGCGGGCCTTTGCTTGAGGCTGCTACTCTGCTGCCTTGGAAAATCCAGAAGATACATGGGCATTGAGATGACCAAGAGTTGAAAAGTTAATGGAATGATGTTGCTGGCTGAGGACTTAGCAGCAAGTCTAGTAAATCGCTACCACATTGCTGCCCTCCAGGCGAAGCCAAATTGGAAGCAAGGATTGTGGTTGTTTCTTGCTTTGTAGATGTGCCTCAGGAAGAATTCCCAGTTACTAAACATTGTGCTTGGCCTGTGTTGAAAATTAATACGATTTTTTTTTACTTAGATATCTTTGTAACCCAGTCTTGCACAAAGACCAAGGAGTTTTTGGGTCCAAATGTTTTGGATACAAGTTCAGTTATAAGTCCAAAACTGGACTTATATCCTGGTTAGCTCTGGCATCAGAGGCACAGGCAGACTGGGTGATATGTAAATATAGTGTAGTGAAAACAAGGCTTTATGGTAAAGCGAATTCTAGGAGATGGTATGGAGAATTTATCACTTACTTGTCTCCAGCAACCACCTTTCCAAGATAATTGGGCCTTTGTACCCATATGAAAGACGTGAAAAAAGCAAATAATTTGAAAAAAGTAAATAGTTTGAAATCCAGTCCTACCATATAGAAATGGTCCTCGCCTTATGATGGCAAGTTGAAAGTACCCTAAATTGAAAATGCATTCAGTATGGCCAAAGGCATTTGGATCTATGATCTACAACTTTGAGAAGCTGCCCCAGTCAGCTACTGCTACCATCACAACAGGAGGCCCCTGTTTGTGTCCAGATGTGTGACAACAGACAATAGTCAGTAATTAACATGTGCATTAGTTTTCTTGCATAAATTTCTACACATGAATGTTTCCTATTGATGGATATACTTAGACTTCACCTATATACCTCCGCCAGCAAGATATTTCATAGTGGGAGCAAGGATAAAAAGAAACCACATGCTTCCTCAACCTCAAAAAAAAAAAATCTAGGGCCCGGTTCCTTGGCCTGGCAGCTAAAGTCCTCACCTTGAATGCGCCAAAATCCCATATGGGCACTGGTTCTAATCCCGCAGCTCCACTTCCCATCCAACTCCCTGTTTGTGGCCTAGGAAGGCAGTCAAGCACGGCCCAAAGGCTTGGGACCAGGCACCAGAGGGCAGCCAGGACTTGAACTGGTCGATGTAAAGGATTCAGATTCGAGTGTTGCAGATGGAAGTTTTACTTCTATACTGCTACACTGCCCCCATGAATATAGAATACTAAGAGATCTGCATAAAATGTAGGAAAACTGAAAAGTAAAATGACCTTTATTTGTAGCTGATATGAATTGCATGCTTGAAAACAGAAAACAATTAAAATCATAAAAGAATTAGGTAAGTCAGAATTAATAACATTAACTAAAATCAGCACATTCTGAAAACATCATGGAAGTAGAGATTCCTTCCACTCAGAGCAGGTGAAGTATCCAGGATTGAGCTCACCAAGAAATATGAGACTTACCAGAGGGAAATTTGAAGGTGTTCCCCAAATATGTAACACTTGCATAAGTGGGGAGGTAGATTCAGTATCATAAAGGCATCAATTGTGTGTTAATCTAGGGACTCAATATGATTTTAATCAAAATGTTACCTATTTGGGGTAATGGTAACAGTGGTATAAAATGATCCAAAATTCAACTTAATATGTTATTGCAACAATTAAAGGGAAAATAAGGAATGGGGGAATTGCAGTTGTGAAGGAGGGAATTGTGGCCATCATCTTAAAATTGTATCTATGAAAGGATATGAAATCTAGTCTCTGTATCAATAAAAATTAAAAAATTTTAAACACACACAAACCCAACATATAACTTGAGTAATAAATGTGTAAGAATACTTAGGAAATCCTGAAACAGGAGAATGAGACCAGTCCTACTAATTATTAAACTATAAAGATGCAATTAATTATCATTAAAACAGATTATAACTTACATATTATGTATAATCAGGCATACATATACCCGTGTGGGAGACCTCAAAGAAGTTCCTAGCTTCTAATTAGCCACTTGGGGAGTAAACCAGCAGCTGGCAGATCTCTCTCTGTATATCTGACTTTCCAATAAAAATAGTAAATCTTTAAATCATTCCCTGGATGGATGCAAGGGCTGGAGTGCAGTTGATAGGTCTCCCACAGTGTATAGGGTCAAAGATTTGGGCAATCCTCCACTGCTTTCCTGGCACTTGCAAAGGGAGGATTAGCCAATTAAGCCATCACACTGGACTTCAATCCAGGTTATTTCTATAATGAAACTATATGAAACTTGGTCAGGAATATTAATTCCTATCGAAAGAGGCATATTCATTGTAACAATCAGCATTATGCAGGGTAAGAAAAGTTTTAAGGTTTATTTTTAGAGAACATTTCAGATTCCCTCGTGTCACAGCATAACAATGTATATGTATTGATTTTTTCTACACCTCAAGTCTCAGATTCTCATTCCTGCATATCAAGTTGCAGAAAAACAAATGCTGACAATTTTACTATAGGTAGTACTAAAAGAAGTCTTCAACACTTAAGTAAAATGAAGCTTTCATCAAAGACTTAATTCACAGAGCACACTTTCTCAAGCAGCTATTAATCAAGTCTGTGATTCCAAGCTCAAGTAATATTGGTATGCTTGAAGCAAACCAAAAAGGCAGTAAATGCTTAAGTCATATATTTCAATATGTACAATATTTACATTCATGTCTTAGAACTTATCTTGGAGTATAATGAAACCAGAGAATTAGAAGACCTCTGAGTCTACCTTAAAGAATGCAGTGCTAATTTCTGTTCTGGATATAAAGGAACGCTCAGTGTCTTGGGTCAACTTCCCACACTGCTTCTATAAAAGCATGCTTCCTTCAGCTAGAACACTGATTACAAATAACACACATTTTAACAGAAGAAAATTCTTTACTTCCAAAGAGCAGGCAGGTCTATGAGTACACAGCCACTTAAATAGGTGAGCGTACATACACACTTAAGTTTCTACAACTTCATGCCTCAAAAGGGAATTTTATTCCAGAAGTATCCTTTCACAGGCCAGCATCATAAATGTATACAATACTTGTGTTTCATACGTTACAATGTGTGAATGACAAAAATAATCGTAGTAACACAATTTTGCAAAGTTCAAGTTCCCAGGTATCTTAAAAAGTGTAAGTTTGTTCAGCAAAGATACTCAGTTAAGGTTACCTAGAAAATCCAGAAGTTCTGTGAAAAAAAAAAATCAGAAATTTTGTAGTTCTGATAGATTTCAACCTTGTAAATATGCTAAATAGAAAATAAAAAGCTGGCTTGGCATATGAGTAATCAAGTCAAGGAGTTTTACAACCCTAAGCCACTATTTGGAATCCATTTTAGATTTTACATAATTTCCAAAGTCTTAATACTACCATTTTTATTAAGAAGAAAGAAATGAGTTTTTGAAATCATTGGCATTCAAAATGGCACTTATGGACAGGAATCACAATTAGGGAAAAATGATCTTGGCAAGCACAATTTCTCTCAAGGTAGGAGCAATGTCACAGAATTTATACACAGCATAAGAAACCATTTAGAAATTTCAGGAAGCTCATCTAATTATGCTTTACTTGTAATCTAAAGTAAGCATTATATTTTTTAAAGCAGAAGAAAAATTTAAAAATAAAAACAGCATGGAACATACTGGTGTTTTTTAAAGCAACCATTCTCTCTCTTCTTCCCTTTTCTCTGGGTACACTGTCTCGCTCTGGTCTCCACTTGGTCAGAAAAACTCAAAACCAAATCTGTTCAAAGTGGTCAGATTTGAGACCACCAGATTTGATTTTCATTTTGTCTTTCCTGATTTCCTAGCTATATAGTACCCAGAATCTATATAAATATTTCAATGAATTTTTTTTTTTTTTTGCATTTGTCTGAAGACTGAAATTTGTCCGAAGGGGAGAGGGGAAGCCGAAATCCCTGGCTGCTGTCAGGATCTTCAGCTTTCCTAATTATTAGTTCCTATTTATTAGTATTATTATTACTGAGAGATTAAAAACACAAAAGCTTCAGCTGGAAATTCACACAATTCAGAAATGTGTTGTGGGGGGGTGGTGCGGAACCCGGTCACAATCTTTTAAGATTTCTAAGTCAATGCTCCCAACTCAAATGCTATGGAGCTGCTAAATAACAACTGAAAATAAATAACCATTCAAATTACATTGGAAATGTTGGAATTTTTAGAAAAGCTTCCTCTTACTTAAGGATGGGAGTAGCTGAGTTCACATGCTAGCTAGACAGATCATTCAAGAAATAACTGACTAGAAGATACCTGGAAACTTTGCCAAGTGCTTCCTTCTTCCTGACTATGCAAGCGTGCCTCAAGGCCGAGTGTTACGTGGTGCTGCACTTTGGAAGAAACCTAACGCTTCAGTGGACTGGAAATCCTTCCACACAAATGTTGAACTCATGTGTTTGCACAGTATTTCTGTGTGTTGAAAACGGACATACACAGTAAGGAAGTGTGTTCTGGCTCAAAAGAGAAGCTGGAATACTGTAGTGTGAGCACAGAACAGGCATAATTTAAAAGGAAAGTACTTGTTTTCACAATTGTGACGTTTCTTGTTATTGGGCTTCATTTGACATTCTTCTTCCTTTCTCCTTTTGAGTCTGCATTTCTGGGAGGGTACTTTGTAAGCTGTGTTTGGGAGGCTATGCTAATCCAACCTCTTAGAAATACGAATGACTAGCAGTTCTGTGTGTGTCCCCCCCGGAGAGCCGGCCTCAGACCACCGAGGTCGTGCTCTCCGGGTTCACACGCACGAGTCTCGAGGCATTGCGCAGGTCCTGGAGCTGCTTGGCGGGCTTCCCCACGCCTTCTTCAAACCTCTTCTCCACCACAGGGAGGACTGTTTCATAGAGAAAGGACGCGTTCTGTCGGATGAAAGCCTTCTTCTCCGGATCCTGCTCACAGCGGAGACTGTAATCCACGTGCTGCACAGCAACCAGGATGATCTCCACCAGGCTCTCGAGGAGCACCATGTGCAGCTCCGGGAAATACAGCTTCAAGGCCTCTTCCAGAAAGCCCATGGTCTGTTTGGTGAAAGCCACCACCGTGTAACTGAGGTTCACCCAGCAGTCGTCCCCAGTGTACTGCTCAAAGTTACTCACCCCACAGCTTTTCATTTCTTCTTTGAGCTTGCCCAAGGCCTCCGGGGTCATCAAGTTCATCCTCCTCCACATCTCCTCTGAGTTGCGATGTTTAGTGGCTTCGATGATGATCTCCTTGTAACTGTGCAAGGCGCCCTGGATGTCCTTCACCAGCAGGGCGTGGATGATGAAGGTCAGGTCCAGTCCGATGTCCCCCAGCTGCTGGCAGTGCTCCTTCGCTACTTTCACACACTCGGCAGCCGTGGAGAGGCTCTCCTTGCTGTCGAACACCTGCTTGCTAAAGGCATCCACGAACATGCCCATGGCTGACCGTGCCCAGACCACAAAGGCCGAGTAGCAGCCACTGTCGGTGCCTGCGAAATCTGTCTCGAATTCTCTGGCAGTCTCCAGGAGACACGTAAAGAAGACGTGGCACAGCTTGTGAATATAGAGTAAAGTGGCACCCTCGATGCGGAGCTGACGTATGGCAGTGTGCACGGCCGCCGCCCTGTTCCTCAGAAACAGCTCGCACGCCTTGGTGCATTGGCCAAGTCGAATCAGTTGGGAAACTGCCCTGCGAGTAGCCTTGGGACCACCCCGCAGGGACCGATCGGGGGAGAGTTCAAAGACCAGCACCTCCGTGAGCTGCCGGACGCGCTCATCTACTTTGGCCCGGAGTTCCTTCACAGGAGGTGGGCTGGGCTTATCTTCCAAGTAATGATTCAGTTTATCCAACAGGTCCACGGCCCCCTCAAAGTCCCTCTGGGCAATGCAGACATCCAGGTCTTCAGGTAGCTCCTGGATCCATTCCATTGACAGGTCCACTTTCTCCTCCTCCTCCTCGGGGGCAGCCGGTTCTTCTTCTTCATCGTCCTCAAATGGGTTAGTGGCTTTGGACGCCACCTGGGGAGGCGCGCGAGGGGCGGCGGCCTCCTCCTGCTCCCGGCGTCTTTTTTCGCTCAGGGCCCTCTTAGTTTCTTCCAGCACTTCCAGCCACTCTCGTTTTATCTTAGCATTTTCTGCCTGGAAGATACGGCTCTCGGGGAACATGAGCAACTTGAACATGTCCTTCATGGGTGGGTTGTCCTTGACATTGACCACAGCTAGCCCATCCAAGGGATAAAGGGCGTTGAAGCGGTACATCCCCCTCCGCTGCGGCAGCCAGGTGGCCACCAGCAAGCAGTCATTCATGAGAAAGCCGTGCACCCGCTGCAGCTGGGCCATGTGGTCCGCCTCGTACTCCACCAAGTCCCCGTTGTACACCAGGTACTGCCCCGGGGTCTCCAGCAGGTGCCGGCAGCCCTCTACCTTCTCAAGCAAAGTGGTGAGCGTGCGCTGCTTCCCCTCCTCGCCCGGACTGGAGCTGTCGCGGGAGGCGGCCCCGGGGGTGGGAAAAAGCCCTGCTCGGCCCCGGAGGTGGTCTCGGCCCCCGGCGCCCCCGGCCCCCTCGTCCCCGCCCGGGGAGGCGCCGGCCCCCGCGGCTGCGGCGGCCGGCAGCAGGGTGAGCGGGATGCTCTCGAGGCTGCTCTTCTGTTCCGTCAGGAGATGGCTGAGCTGATACATCTCGCTCTCCAGGTAGGAGATCTCGCGGGCCGTCTCGATGAACTGCCGGTAGTTCTGGTAGACGTTGCGCTTCAGGTTCTGCGCCGTCTCCTCGGCCAGAGCCTGAATGCGCTGCCGATGCTCCTGGAGGTCCCGGTCCCCGTCCGACTGCTGCGACAGCTGCTTCACGTACAGCCGCGCCTCAAAGCTCCCCGACTCCAGCTGCCGCCGCAGCCGGCTCGCCCCGCTATCCGACATCGCCATCGCCATGTCCGCCCGGGCCGCACGCCGTCGCTGTCACGGCCGCCGCCGAGACCCGCCCAAGCCTCCCCGAGCCTCCCCGAGCCGAGCTCTAGGGCTTCGGAAGCAGGAAGCCAGCGACGCCAGTACGCCGGCGCCGACCTCCGAGCCGCTCGAGCTGCGCCTGCGCAAGAAGCCGAGCACGGACAGTACGTCTGCGCGGGGGAGGGGGGCGTGTCAGAGGACGAGAGCGCACGCGCAGGCGGAGTTATGGCGGAAGTGAGGGGAGGTTCAGGGCGATGCCTCAGCACTGCGCATGCGTCGAGTTGGCGCTGGTGGTTTCACGTTTGAAATGTAAGCGCCGTAAGCAGCTTCCGGACGCCGTGAAGCAGGTCCGAGTGCCGGCTTCTGTCCTCCTTAGGAGTCGTGGTGCCCGTTTCTTGTTTACACCCTGGAATCTTGCTGGCTGCGCTCCGGGCAAGCTCAGTTTGGCTCCCTGTGTTCTCGCGAGACCGGGTCCGGGAGCGGCGCGAGAGCCGGTTATTTTGGGGTGTTTGAAGCGGCCGGAGCGTTGTGGCCGCGGAACTCGGGGAGTCCTCCTGACGCCGGGAAGCCGCGGCTGGGATCATGGCAGGGATGGATGAGGACCTGCTGTTGGCGCTGCGTCTTCAGGAGGAGTGGGGGTGCGACCCGGAGCCCGCGTCGCTGGTGGACGCGTCCTGGGAGCTGGTGGACCCCACGCCGGACCTGCAGGCGCTGTTTGTGCAGTTCAACGACCAGTTCTTCTGGGGCCGGCTCGAGGCCGTGGAGGTCAAGTGGAGCGTGCGGATGACCCTGTGAGTCCCGAGCCGCGCGGAGGGCGACGCGAGCTGCCGGCCCGGCCCTCCCCGGGTGCTCCGGCCCGCCCGGCCCGTGGTGGGCTTTGAAGTGGCAGCCCCTCCCTGGATGTGTTTGACCTGAGAAAAAGCTGTGTGTCTCACTCCCACTGTAATAGTGGGAGACTTCAGGTGCCCCTACACTCGAGAGTAACGCTTTTCTGATTTGCCTGTGTTAGGGCTGTGGGACCCGAGAAGCAGAAACAAGTACAACTTCCCCAAAAGTTGTGAGGATGTGTGTGGGCCTAGCTGGGAAGACACCACTTGACATTCGGCTGGTGTTTGAATGGGGAGGGAGTGGATCCTCCATGTTTCAGGACTCAGAGACGCTTCTGGAAGGATTCTCGTAGTACACATTAAATTTGAGAAGTCCTGATTTGAGTTGAAAATCTGTTCCTGTGTGCTGTCCCAGTCAGGATTCAGTTTCCTCTATGCCGTGCTCCCCCGTCCCCCCCCCCCTTTAATTTATTGAGTGAAAGGTGGAAGAGACAAAGAGATCTTGCATTTGCTATCTCCCCAAATATCCACCAAAGGCGAGGTATGCCAGATTAAATACAGGAAACAGAACTTGATCTTCACTCCACCGTGGGTGCCGGACCCATCAACTGCTGTCTCCCAAGGAGCTGGCCTGGAACCAGACATTCGGCAGCTGGGCACCCAGTCACGGCTTCGCTGGCCGTGCCACAGTGTCTGCCTCCCACGGGGGTTTGGAAATGATAAACACAGTCTATAAAAAGATTAGGATATGATACAAAGTCTGTTTAAAATACACACCTCCTTCTGAAAATGTGCTTGTTGCGCACCAGATCTGATCGTAGCTTGTGGGGAACAGGGTTGCTGTTTGAGCCGCTGACGGTCGGGTGGGCCCCCACTGTTGATGAACTGAGGTGAAACACACAAGTATGTGCTGACAAAGGGGCTGTCCTTTCCAGATTGGCACCCCGAGGTCCTTGTGCTGTTAACTCCTGTTTGTGGCTATGATAACCCGTTTCTCTTGTGGTTCTTTCCAGGTGTGCTGGGACATGCAGTTATGAAGGAAGTGGAGGAATGTGTACTATCCGTCTTAGTGAACCCCTTTTAAAGTTGAGACCAAGAAAGGATCTTGTGGAGGTATTGTTTGAATAACCTGATTCTTAGTAATTTACAGGTTCTTACCATTGATGTAGATTGCTGTGAATTAACTGGTTTTTTTTTGAAGATTTGTTTATTTTTATTACAAAGTCAGATATACAGAGAGGTGGAGAGACAGAGAGGAAGATCTTCCATCTGATGGTTCACTCCCCAAGTGAGCGCAACAGCCGGTGCTGCACCGATCTGAAGTTGGGAACCAGGGACCTCTTCCAGGTCTCACACGCGGGTGCAGGATCCCAAGGATTTGGGTTGTCCTCTACTGCTTTCCCAGGCAACAAGCAGGAAGCTGGAAGGGAAGTGGAGCTGCTGGGATTAGAACTGGCGCCTATATGGGATCCTGGCGCATTCAAGGCGAGGACTTTAGCCACTAGGCTAGGCCACGCCGCTGGGCCCGTGAATGAACTTTTATGACAACAAATAATGTTTTTCCCACAGAATAAACTTGAATTGCGGGATGAATAATTCTTCTATTTTCACAGTGCTTCATAGTTGAGAAAAGCTGTTAGCTATATTCTATCTCATTTGATCTTTGTTATCTCCATTTTTAAAAAAAGATTTGTTTATTTTTATTAGAAAGGCAAATTTACAGAGAAAGGGAGAGACAAAGAGATCTTCCATCCATTGGTTCACTGCCTGGATAGCCACAGCCACCAGAGCTGAGCTGATCGGAAGCCAGGAGTCAGGAGCTTTTTTTGGGTCTCCCACGTGGATGCAGGGTCCCAAAAACTTGGACCATCATCCTCTGCTTTCCCGGGCTACAAGCAGGAGCTGTATGGAAAGTGGGTGGAGCAGGCAGGACAGGACTGGCATCCATATGGGATCCCAGCATGCAAAGTGAGGATTTTTGCCACTGAGTCATTGCGCTGGACCTCGAAAGTGTTTTCGATAACTGGTGCCGGAAAGGACAGATGCTTGCCCTGGCGGCCCTAGTTAACACACCCACATCCCAGAGGAGAGTGCTCAGGTTCAAAATTTGGCTCTGTCCTCAACTGGTTTCCCAAGCCACAAGCAGGGAGCTGGATGGGAAGTGGGGCCACCAGGACACAAACCAGTACTTATATGGAGTCCTGGTGCATGCAAGGTGAGGGCTTTAGCCACTAGGCTGGGCCTCAGTTGGAAAATTTTACACTTGATTTCATGTGGCAGATCTCATCAAAAACTCAAATACTCTAAAAATACTGCAAAAAAATACCATCAGATTAAGTGTAATGAGGGTATATGAATCATACATGAATTTTCTGTTTAGGCTTGCGTTTCATTCCCATGTCACAGTATCTGAGAAAATATTCCAGAATCTAAACAGTTTGGTCCCAACTGTTCTAGATATGTAATAAAAATAAACACATTCAAGGCCAGGACCCCAACCATTACGCTCTCGCGCTAGGCCCTTTAAAATCAATTTTTAAAAATGCATCAGATTCGGCCCGGCAGCGTGGTCTAGTGGCTAAAGTCCTCGCCTTGAACACACCAGGATCCCATATGGGCGCCAGTTCTGATCCCAGCAGCTCCACTTCCCATCCAGCTCCCTGCTTGTGGGAGAGCAGTGGAACATGACCCAAAGCCTTGGGATCCTGCACCTGCGTGCGAGACCTGGAAGAGGTCCCTGGTTCCCAGCTTTGGATCAGCACAGCATCGGCTGTTGCAGTCACTTGGGGAGTGAATCATCAGACGGAATATCTTCCTCTCTGTCTTTCCTCCTCTTTGTATATCTGACTTTGTAATAAAAATAATAAATAAATCTTTAAAAAAATGTACCAGATTAAAAAACCGTAACAAAAAGACATGATTTTGAGAGTAGTGATACAGCTTTGTTATTTGAAACATGCAGGTGCAGATGTTAATGCCACCATTTTAGTCACTTAGTAAATAACCAGAACAATTAGTGCATGTAAAACAAATTAAAAAACTGAGAAGTATAATAACCAAATCAGCCTTATAAAGAGCCCTAGTTGGAAGACAAGCTGCATAATTAATACATATTTATATGAAAGAGTAAGCACAGGGACACTTTTTTTTTTTAACGTCTACATGAGAGAAGGGTGGAAATGGGTGGCATTGTTTTCAGAAAGCTATCAGTATCAACTTGTTTAGGAAAAAAGGAAGAAACTGTTCTGTAAAGTAGTCCATTGAATTGTAATGAATGGAATTCAGGAAAGGAAAAGAGGTCAGTCAAGAAAAGCTTTATAAATACAGATTTTCTTAGTTCTGCCACCACTCCTTCCATTCTTTAGTGAGCTCTTTTTGTGTGCCAGACTTTGGACTGGATTAATTGTGGCCTTTCCCAGAGAGCAGCAGGAGCTTTTCCCGCATCTCGTGCTTAGTGGATAATAGATTCTTGGTTTAGGCTGCAGTGTCCTGTCTGTAAACCACTCGTCTCTGCTGTGTCTCTTAGCCTCATAGTCCTCATTGCTTCCCAGTGATCTGGAGAGCTGGCCCTGAAAGGACAGACTGGACTGTGGACAGAGAGAGCGGGCTGCTGTGAGCAGCAGGGAGATTGTGAAGTGAGGTCAGGCGTGTTTAGGACCAGAGTAGTTGCTTCTGACCAGATGGAGCAGTGATGGAAATAAGTGTGTTGGGACTGTCGTATAGAACCTTGATCGAGCAACGTGAAAGAGATGGTTCATAACTTTTTCTCAGTTTGAAAAAACCTGTGATCAAAATGTTCCTTAACAAATTATTTTGATTGTTTCTGTTTCAGACCCTCTTGCATGAAATGATACATGCCTATTTATTTGTTACTAATAATGATAAAGACCGGGAAGGACATGGTCCAGAATTTTGCAAACATATGAATCGCATCAACCACCTGACTGGAGCCAATATATCAGTATGTAAAGCTCCACGTGCTTATGGTATTTAGTCGTGATAAATTCAGTAGCTCCTAAGAATTAAAAATACAGAAATAGGAAGAAGCAATTTTTTTTTTTTAATATATGAAGAGAGCACATTTCACTACAGATTCAGGAGCTTGCTGATAATTCTCACCCTCCAGCCCTCCTGGGTGTATCTCACACCTGTCTTCCTCCTTCCTTATTTCCTTTCCTGGCTTTTACGATAGCATGCTTTCATCTCATTTT